CCCCACCCCACCATCTCATCCCACCGCTTATCAGCCAGCCAGGAAGCCAGCTACATAGCCAGCTTATCGGGCGCGCTTGCGCTTCCGACGCCGGCGGATAGATAGTCAGATAGTCAGCCAAGCAGTGAGTGGAGCGGTCCCAGCTCATCTGCTGTTAGTAACAGCGGTGAAAGTAATGAGCTGGACTGATGTTTGCCGAGGAAGGAGGGGTAGCTACGTATCATGGAACTAGCTAGCTTATTTCATTAGGTAAACTGGTTATGCAGCAAGGGGTGAGTTGGTGGTCTGCTGTGGTACTTAAAACCGTGGCCGGTTCGCTCTCTGGATTATCGGTTCAATTATTCTACCCTTCACTTTATTGTAAAGACACATACATACACACAATTGTCTCAGAATCTAGCACAATGGTTGGACGACTTGCTGGAAAGAACGCTCTCGTTACTGGTGCTGCGGGGTATTTCTCTCTCTTTCCTCTTTCTCTTTCTCCTTCTGTGTCTGAATGGTTGCAATTGGGGTGGATATGTACAAAAGGAAGCAAGAAGCTGACAATACTATTTCCACATGCAGTGGCATCGGTCTCGAAACCACCATCCTCATGCTCCGCGAAGGCGCCTCCGTCCTGATGACCGATATCAGTGGCCCCGGGCTCGAAAAGGCCTTGAACAAAGTGAACGAGGTCGTGCCCGAACGCTCCGGTAAAGTGGAGACCCGCGTGGTCGATGTCTCCAAGGAAGCCGAGGTGGAAGCTGCCGTGGCGCATCTGGATGCCTGGGGTGGATTGGATGTGATTTTCAACAACGCGGGCATCATGCATGCCAAGGATGGCGACTCGGAGGAGACTCCCGAGGCTATCTGGGACTTGACCATGAACATCAACGTCAAGGGCGTGTGGTATGGATGCAAGCATGCGGTGAAGAGTCTGAGGAAGCATGGCAAGAAGAAGGGAAGTGTTATCAACACGGCCAGTATGGTCGCTTTGGTCGGTGCTGCTACGCCCCAGCTGGCGTATACCGCTAGTAAGGGGGCTGTGTTGGCTTTGACTCGCGAGTTGGCGATTGTGCATGCCAGGGAGGGTGAGTTTGCTGCTACTGCTGCCCTATTGTATTTGGTCTGGTGCTGATGATGATGATGCAGGCTTCCGGTTCAACTCGTTGTGTCCCGCTCCGCTTAAGTGAGTATATCCTCTCCGTGCATGCTGAGGACGAAGCTAATGAATACAGCACTCCCCTTCTGCAGGACTGGCTCGGTGATGACAAGGAGAAGCGCTTCCGTCGCGAGGTCCACTTCCCGACCGGTCGCTTCGGAGAGGCCATCGAACAGGCCCACGCTGTCGTCTTCCTGGCTAGCGATGAGAGCAGCTTCGTCAATGCCACTGATTTCGTCGTCGACGGTGGTCTGACCAAGGCGTATGTGACTCCTGAGGGTCCTGCCACCGAGGCCCCTAAGAACCTGGGTCAATAAGCGGCGACCCATGTCTGGTCAGGATGCTATGAGTGATGATTGTATGATAGACTGGTTGATTAGGCAAACGATATCCATATTTGATTCCGTTGCATGGCTCGACAGATGTTCCATGGACCTGCTTCGTCCAGCGGCATCTGCCACATGTGTTCCAGTATGAGTAGAGTCCTCTGCATGTTGCCGAGTCCAAACGTGTTCACCATGACGGTGAGCCGGCGGCGTAGACTATCCTGGTGTTCCGCATTGGATAAGCAAGACCCCACCACAGCAATCGGCCAACAGAGACCCGAGTTGATCCGCGCAGTCCCAGACAGCTGATCCAGATAAGACATTGCCTCTGCAATCGCAGTCTCGATCAGCCCCTGATACATGCCGTTCTCCGCCCGCGAGAACCCGCCTAGCGCGGTGTAGAGGTAAAGGAGCATCGCCTGCTGAAAGATCCGCCCTGCCAGAAATACCTCCGGGCTGACTGAGGCATACGGTGTCCATCGCATGATTTGCACTTGCAGCGAGCTGAACATGGCAATATCATCTGCAGTGGGCATGGCCGGTCGGCCATCGTGCATCATCCACTGCCGACCTAAGTCGAAGATGCAGGGGATCAGCAGCAACAACTCCAGCCAGCAACCACATAGATTACCCACGTATTCCGATTGCAGCAGCTGACGCGCCCGTTGTTCGAGGTCAAAGTTCAAGAATAGTTGAGTACTGACACGAGCATCGACCGAGATCATGCTCACGGCAGCAGTGTAGGTGTAGTATTCGATAACAAAGTCTTTCAAGTCTTTCGGTACCGCTGTATCGCTTTGTGAGAGCAGTCGAATCAAAAGAGAATTAGCAGCAGTCAGGTGGTCGAATATCGTGCCGTTCATATCGCCTTTGGCCGTCTGCTATAATCAGCCATGTTCAATGTCCTTGGAATGTAGGCGTACCTCAGTAAAGCACATCACCAACGCTCCTACCGTAAGCATGAGCGGATTTGACTCTTTCCCGTCAATAAATTCGGTGACTCCTTTTCGGAATAGTTGTAGGGCTGACGTGTAGTGTCTCTGAGCGACCTCGTCAGACTCCATGTGACAGCGAAACGCCCGGTGAGCAGCACTCTGCGTCAGAACCAGCTGAAGCAGAAGATCGCTGCTGAAAGCGAGTGGCACGATTTGAACCAAGAATGGATTGATAGGGGTAGACCCGTTCGCCATGCAGTCGGCTGTTGTTGCCAAATAGTGGCTCAACAGCTCATAAGAGTCAGGCCCATGGCCTGGGAACATGGACAAGCTCCGGGGGAGTAGATTGCTAACGGTGGCAGACGTTCCTAGGACTTGACTGCTGCCGATGGCAGGAATCTGAGCAAGATCCATCGAAATCGAGGGACATGGTGCAGAAGACGCGCGAGACGTGTCTTCTGGAGATTCCGACTCCCGTAGTATCTCCTCTGGGGAAGAAGGGGATGTAGAACGGGACTCGATCGAGCTGGACGTTTCCCGGTTCACGCTCATCTGGCGAGAGGGGCCCTCTTCGCCACCTGGACGATTTTGCTGATCATCATCTTCAGGCATGAAGGAGATATTGTTGGCCTTGGGTTGGCCCGGGATGATGGTCGGCCACTGGCAAGTGAGCTTATTTCGCACGCATCCCCCACAGACTGGTTTGGCTTCATCACATTTCTTCTTGCGGCGTCTGCAGGCCCAGCAACCGGTGCGGACGCGGACGATGGGGTCGGTACGCGGCCGTCTACTAGGCGGCATTGGTGTGAAATAGGGAGGCTTAGCGCTAGAGGATTGGGAGATTGGAGGGAATCGGTGCTAAGTTCAGAGCCATGGAGAGCGGATGGGAGAACAAGCGGAGACGGCGCGGGAAGCCGAAGATAATCCGGTGATTGGTTGGCGGGACCGAAGTGGAGATTCCATTGATTCAGCTTCATGGATGAGATGAGATTACAGCATTGTTCGGAGAAAGTGAGTATTATGCAAAGGCTGGCGAGAAAGGCGCAGCGGAGTATAGGTGGTGTTCTGACGAAGGTGAATTACCTCCTATCCAAATGGTCCGGATAGCTGCCATGCCAGATGCCAACTGGTTAATGGCGCCACCCACACAACAGAACCATCTTATATCTACTACAGACAACAAACAAGAATCTGAATATTCGTCTATCCGACAACTTATAAATACTCGAGACAATTCAATCACCATCCCGTCGGTCTCGGCCACACATCCACAATCGTCGATCCGTCCCCATCTCGACTCGAATCCACCACCAAATACCACCCGTACATGGCCCCGGTCACGCACGCATGATTCGGATAAATCCTCACAGTCTGGCCGACCTTGAGCGGAATTGCAGGTCCATCTCCTACTTCCCACGCGACAATTGCATGTTCTTGGCTGATCCGATCCACAATCAGTCGCGATGACCCCTTCTCGCGTCTCCAATCCCCAACCACGCCCCATCCCGGATACGACTTGCACGGCTCCCTCCCCAAAGCCAACGACCCAGCAGCCACCAAGGCCTCAGGTTTTGACCGCTCAGCATCATTATAAACGCTGCAAACCTCTGCTACTACCGAAATGCCAACCTCTTTCTCGGCGTCCCCAGTAGGATGGATGTTCGTGCCCAACTGCTGCATATCCAGAACGGGGTAGACACCCGCATGAAGCTCGACTTTGATCGACAACTCACCGTCTACATCCTTCTCATGCAACAAGTTCTTCAATCGCCTCGCCTCCTCATTCAGTTGTCCCTCCTCCTCAAGTAACTTCTTCACCACAACGACCTGCGGCGTGGCACCAACACTAACCACTAACTCCCTCCCCTTACCACCAGGCAAAGCGAACGAATCCTTGTTCTTCCGCAAGGCCTCCCGACACCCTGTGATCTCCTGCATCAAAAACCCCATCACCTCTTCTGGCGTATCACCCCCATAACTCAAACTGTTATGCGAGTAAACCCCCAGCAGAACCAACGTCCCCTCCCTCTCCCCCTCAATCACCTTCTCTATCAAGCCCCCCTTATTCAACATAGAAGGCGGGAGTCCCGCCCGATGATATCCCGAATCTACCTTGAGAAACACCGCTGCTGCATGGCCAGCCAGTTGCCGGAACTCAGTCAGATACTGTACCTGATCTGGATGATCGATCATGACAGAAATACTCCCCTCGCCTAATTCACGCGCTAACGCAGCCAACCTGGGAACTTGAGACGGCACAAGAGGTATGCCATAGAGAACATTGACCTTTCTTCCGCTTTCCCGCAGATCTTTAAAAAGTGGGAGAAGCGTCTCCCCTTCTAGAAGGGTGGAGATGACAAAGTTTGCGGGTATAGATTTGTCCTCCCCGGCTTGAAGACGGGCGACTTGGGGAGTCTGTCATCATATCAGTCATCACACACCCTTTGAATCAGGATGGTGTAAATGGAAGCGAAGGGTCCATACTTTGTGTGTCTTGACATGCGCTCGAAACCCCACATCCAATGCCTTCACAGCATCCAGCATGGATGCGCAATGGCGCTTGATGATGGCTACATCTAGGACAACGGCGGGTTTGGGGACGGAGCTGATGTCCTTGCCAATGTAGTAGCGTTGGAGGGATTCTTGGGAGGGTGGTGGTCTGGTTGGGAAATCCATAGTTAGATACTTCTTCTCTTCTGAACTGTGAACTGGTATTGTCGTTGTGGTAAGTAGAGTCAAATTGGAGACGTGTATAGATGGGTATGTCAGTTGAAGTTGACGACTTTCATTGAATCATCATGTGGGGCGAGTTCGGTGAGGGTGCGGGGGGAAGGTTTAGCCTGAAGTTTAGCCGTTGCTGCTTCTTATCCTCGTGAATGGATTTGATGTTTCATATCAATTCATCGCAGGACAATTGAAGCATAAATAGTACACCATTTCAAATGAATATCATGCAAAATGATCAAATGCATCAGTTCAATTCCAACTTCTGAAAGTGCAGTACAACAATGTCAGTCACGTAGTTTGCCAGATACTCCAGAAATATCCTCAATGATCCAACCAAAGTACTAAACGAAAACATGAGAGTAAGCGTTATTTCCAAGCACGAATGAGTGGCGATGGCTTTAAAAATCGACCGGAGCAGGATTTGAATGTCATCTTACGCCTGAGCACTCCGCCGGATCTTAGACACCGCAGATTATGCCTGGAATAATCAGAGCCTTGTTTCGCGTTGAGGGTTGTCACCGATTAATGCGACAGATCTTCAATATACTCCACTTTGCACTAGACGCGTTGCGGACGCAGAATCATCTAACCCGCCGAGTGAGACGCCTGTATCCTGTCAGGGAGCATCCAACCTAGTGTGCCTTTAGGTCTTGGATTCTCCGGATATCAATCACTCGGCTGTCCAGTAAACAACTTAGATTCTGAGTCGACAGACTCATATTTTATAACATCTCTTATCAGCTTATTCATGTAATCTGCGTTACTACAGCCGGGTGAATGCCTCCAGCCTCAATACATATAGTGGTTTTATCTGAGAATTTTCATTCATAAGCTGGACTCTGACCAGAATTTATATACTTGTTACGTGATTTGCTATATACTAGATCAAATCTCTAGTTATTAGCGACTGTTATCGATCTGTAGATAAAGGATATACAATGTTGAAAAGCCACCGGTTTCGCATTACGCAAATCCGTTTCACGAGAATTCGAAGAATCGACTGACATTCCACAACCGTGGATCTGTTTTGTCAGCCCGGTTTCTCTTCAAACCACGATCTCACTTTTTCGACAAATGACCGAGAGCTGTCCGGTTTTACAGGCAAGTCCCCCTGTTCTGCCTCCTGTTCCATCCCCCGTTCTATACGCGGGGTGGGGGATAAGTGCGTCCTTCGACGAATAAAACCAAATCTAGAAATAGCCCTCCTCCCAATAACTACATCGTACTCGTCCATATCCAAGACTAAGAAATTGGTGGTATAACTCTTGGCCTTTTGTCCAAAATGCCAGTCCACCTTAATTTGATATTGTGTCGTGAAGCTCGTTTGATTTACCGCATCATTGCGAAAGGGGACCAAGACCTTGGGCAAAACGAGTTGAAATGGGACCCCTAACTGAGTCGCAATACGGTAAGACATAAAACTGTCCTCAGACGTTGTGTCAAGGACAACACGCGCGCTTATCTTCTCCGAGCCTTCGGCAAAAAAATAGGCGAGTTGCGAGAAACCTCTTACCGGTTTCTGCCGAGAGGTGGTGGCCGAAGCTTTGGAAGATGCTTGCTGAGCGTCAGAATTCTTCTCAATGAGTTTAATCTTGCGAGACTCCATGGGTATCTCGAGCTTCTTGGTCTGCTCTCCATCATCTTCCTCTGTATTAGACGTCGAAGAAGAAAGACCTGACTCTGCATTTGCTTCACTCTTCTGTCCTCGAGACTCTATCTCATCCGCCTTTCTAAGTCCATCCAGTTCGTTTTGCCTCGATCCATCGGGATCAAGCTCATTTGAAGACGACACTTCTGAGCTGCAATCAAAATAAGCATTTTGCTGGAAATAGTCATCATACCATAACATCTTCTCGCAGGGAGGTCGTTCTATACTGGGATTTACTTGAATGTCATTCTTGATTAGCCAGTCGTAGACCTTTTCGGAGCTGTTGTAAATAATTTCATCACTCCCTCGTCCATTACTATCCGCCCATGGTAATGCTCGGAGAGAAAAAGAGTGGACCTCCGTGGCGATATGATTGAACAGCGCCTCTTTTTCCACTTCGACTCCGTCGTCATCTGGCCAATTGCAAAGTGAACAGCGTCGGATTGCTGAGGGCATTGTCTTTTTTGACAACTCAACCAGGACTGCAATATGTGCTGGTGGAATGGTGGCAGCATGAAAGGTCTCTGTATGTTGTACAAAGGCGTCCCTGTCAGAAAATTGAGACCCATCACCACATACAAAGCAGGTCCAATATGTCACACTGCTGTGATCCTTCAGCATATGCTGTCGCCAACTATCCTTTGTATTATAAAGAACATAAGGTTGATCACAACCAGCCAAAACACAGGTGTATGGGCTCAAATCATCTTCGATATGCTTCCTAATCTTTTGTTAGTGTGGCCGTGATTGGATTTGCGTCAAGAGTCTCACCTCCACCTGATATTCTCTGTCATTGTTACAGGGAGTGCTTCGCAGCAACAGGGACACCGAAAGAGCCGCGCATCATCTTTGAGTTGAGGTGGGCGCGGGTAATCTATATTGAGTGCTGTAGATGATACTGCGGAAGACGTGACGGATATAGCGTGGTCTAGATGTGGTAATTGAAAGCCATCGGACAATCTGGAGGCACTGGTTCCCGTAATTATTGTTTTATTGGCGTGCACTGGGCTATTACCCGAGGATTTAGGGCTAGGTTTCCTTTCGGGTGTCTCCTTCTGTGCTGATCCAGCTGGCTTCGATACAGGTGTATGTCGTACGCAGCCAACATCCAGACCCATGGCATGTTTTTGAGAATACAAAAAGCGATTTCGACGCTTTAGGTTACAGTGTACCAGCCGCAATTGTACTTCATCCAACTTTGATGGGTCTCTTTCTTGAGTACGACCCTTCAGTTGAAAGAGTAACATTCCGACAAGGTGGCCCTCCAGCTCCTGGTGCTCTGTTGCGTTGAACAGTTGGTCTGCCTTTTGCCACCGTGAGCGCCTTCCAGAGCGACGTATGGCAACCGCGACCCGGGAAAGTTGATCCAGCATCGACTCGATGTTATACATTGACTCATACAACAGATTTCCCGATGGTTTTCGCAGCTCGTGACGGTCCGTCGACTGGCTATCAGAGCTGGAATCATCGGACCATGGGGAAAACGACCGCCCCGGCTTTTCATGCTCAGAAGAGGCGAGGTCTTCCTCATCGTGATAACTGCGCGAAAAGCCTTGATTTCGACTCCGAATTGTGCAATCTTCAATCACGGTACTGAGAAGGCGCAATAAATTGACGATTACATCACGAGCTTCGGGCCTCGAGGCTAGTCTCCAGTCCAAAGAAGCTCGTCCTCGGGCGCAGGCTCCGGTACCTGATATCCATAAGTTCATATCCGCAAGGCGGTTTTCAGCCCATTCGTTTTCCATGAGTGTCGGGATTTTCAAACACTGCGTGAAAAGGTTGACGCACTGCTGTGCAACTTCTTTTATGTCCCCCTCCATGGCTGTCGAGTAATTCGATGCGTACGTGGTCGCTATGTGCCACGAGGGGATCTACTTATGTAAATAGAATCAGCTGAGGGGTTGCAGCCTCACTGGTTACACTGGCCTAATATTGATCCGACCCCGCTCCTCGTGCACGTCGCTTACTTGGGTACGATTAGGATGAACCAGTTCCTTCGCTCTTTCCTGTCTTTTTTCATGATATCTGTCCTTTCCCTATAGCTTTCCATAGAAATGGCACAGCAACCTACGTATATTCTCTCTCCCGACTTCCATTTCAAGCCAGGAACAGGCCCTATCGGATTAGGGAACATAATATCACACCCGCTACGACCACATCGAGCCCTGACAACTGTCGATGCGACAACACTAGAAAAAGTTTACCCACGGGTAGAAAGATTTACAGATTACGATCGAAGTATTGAACGACGAGACAGCCGCGATGTCTCGATGAGCTTGTGGACGGAGTTTCTGCAGACGGTATCTGGAGAGCTTTCGGGCGGACGGGGTAAGGATGTGCGGTCAAATTATACGATGGACCAACTCCAGACAGAATATTTTGTCACCGACCCTCCGCTTGAAGAGATCCAAGCACGTCTAAAAGCCCCTCGGGTTCAAGTTGTCACCAAAGCAGGCAGGATTCCTGGGTTTAGGACGCCTGTTTACATGGTTACGGGTCTCATGATAGCGAAAGGCTTTACCGCCAGTATGGAAAACACCAAGCGCCATAATGGGGAGATTAATGTTGGTGGCAATATTCCATCGCCGGGGATTCAGGTTGGCGCTGGAGCTAATCTCGCCAAATCTACCAGCACAGAAGAATCGGATACTTGGCGGGCGGGGGAGGACATAGTGTTTGCATATCAGCTTCTGAAAATAGAGGTCAAGGGTTGGAAAGGCGATAGAGTTAAATACGATGAGCTGAGGCACAAGGCCGCCTACTTGAGCAAAGATGATGATGACGAGACAGATGATGATGACGATGCTGTGGAAGAGATCATTATAAGCTCAGCTGATGCGAGCACTTTATCCAGTGATCATGACCAAGGGGGTATGACTGTGACAGAGGTTGGAGACGGGAATAGTCGAATCAGCTGTATTTATTCGATAACCGGGAGTGATCTCTGACTGATAGAGTATTCAGCTCACATAATTAAAGCCCCGATAACTTGCCGCCAATTTTTGCCCACCGGACATCCTCAGGAATGCCTATCAAGCCCCGTACCGTCAGGTACAAATAATCTGGCTGGAGCGTTTTAGAAGATATGGCCCTGAATATTGCAGTCATTCCCCGGCGTGTCCGGGCTAGACTTTTGGCGTCGTAGAATGGCTTCTCCGGAGGGTGAGAGCTGATGTATCCCAGAAGAGACCCTGCTATGCCGGCCGCTATGGCCGTAGCAATTGATGTTCCAGACCTATACTCTTCGCCATCGCAATTGGGCCACGCAGAGGGAACGTCTATGCCAAGGGTGCCGAAAACCACCGGTTCATCTTCGTGCTTAGGGGGGTTAAAGTCTGCAAACAGGCCGTTTGAATTCGTCGCCCGAATAGACATGACGGACTCGTGTCTGGCAGGGAACATTTCTCGGTCATTGGCCCCGTAATTTGACGCCGCTGCAAAGAAAAGAATGGAATCCTTGCGTTTGTATAGGGCTTCGCGAATTGCGTCACTGATACACGGCTGCTCCTCTGCAAAGCCGAACGACATGGAGATGAGGTCGGCTTCCCATTGTTCACTTGCCCAAGAAATCGCCTAAGCAAGTCAGCTAAGTGACAGTCAAAAACTTCATTGGATCACTAACTTCTGCAACTTTCTCGCTGGCACTTAAGAGTTGTTGGGGCCTTTTGGCAATGCGTGCTACATAGATATCAGCATCGGGGGCGCACTTCAGAACGAGAGACACCAAATGAGTGCCGTGTCCATGACAATCTTCGGGCTGAATGGAACCGTCAGCCCAGTCTTTCCAGCCTTTAAGACGTTCCATAACATCAGGTGAGAAGAAGAAGGGAGCGTTATCGTCGTATCCAGTGTCCAAAATCGCTATGCGTACACGCCGGGATAACCCGTGTAATCCCGCTGCTGGTGCAACTTGAGCTAGCTCCCTGTTAAACTCCTTTACATCTAATAGCCAATTGCTAGCATTTTTCTCACTTTCAGTGCGCTTTCTCCTGCGCTCTGGCGCTTTGCCTTTGTCAGAATTCACCGGTACAGTGGCTTCTTGAATCGCGGCGTCTTGAGAAAGTACATGGAGCGGGCCTATCTTTTCATAATTGTCGATCCATTTCGTGCCTTGTAGGAGGTTTTCAAGCGGAAATACAACTTTCTCGTATAAGATGTTTCTCCGCTGCTTGAGGTTTTGTTTCTGTTCAGAGGCAGATAAACTCTCAACACAAGGTGCCTGGTCGAATGTGCCGGGCTCCAAACAGTGGCATATTGAACTCTTATAGTCGGGATAGTCAAAATTCTTCCAGTGCTCTTCATCTCTTGCGTAATTGATGGCTGTGAGCAGTTCGGTATTCACCTCGGCAGCCAAGGGCCTCCCCTGCTCCTCACGCTTGGGAAGCGGAAACCCAAGACCTATCTCTACCAGCATAATACCAAGCGCTCTGATCCTTGGGTAGACATGGACCATCCCAGCAATCCTATATTGTTCGTAGCACAGCGGATCTTCATCGTTGAAATGCACTGATACATATGGTTTCCAGGTAAAAAGCTTACCACGGCCCCCATCTCCCGAACTATTACTTTCCCTCATAAATTGGATAGTCTCGCTTGTCCATCTTGTTCGCATCCAGTCTGTGTCATAGTACTGCCAGACTGAGTAAGCTATTATATAAGCTAGTACCAGCTTCATTCGTGCTGTGAGATAGTAGGTGCTGAGTATTTTGGCCAAAGATATCCCCGGGGTATGATCGACTACCTGCTTGTGAGGTCCAAAGCGATGATAAAGCTCCTGGTCTTCAATAGAGAGGCAAAGGCGCCAGCCTGTTGCTAGATCGAGCAGACGGCAGAATTGACCTTTGTCGGTTCGGTGCCTTCGTTTTGCAGTTGTTTTGCTGGCATGCTGATCATCATTTCCAACATCTTCATCCAGAAATCGGACGCACTTTTTGCTAGGGGTATGGTCGTTTGGCACAAGCAGCTCAACATCTTGCCAGTGAGTGAGCTGTGACTGGTCCCAGAAAGGCTTTGATGAGAATAGCATATCAAATTGCGCCAGATTGTTACTGGCCACTGATTGGGAAGGTGGCTGTAGCAGGAGACACACTAGGTGCCCTCTCTCCATTTGCCTACGCACTCCATTGCTCTGGCAAGTACAGCACATTTGCTCCCGTAGGACTCGATGAGCGAGCTCGTTGGCAAGATCGGACCGCTCTGGGCGAGCGAATCTTTTTCTAGAACTGAGATCCCCACTCTCATCGCGCCTAGTTGACTTGCGATTGCGCTCAATGAATTTTTGAACATGAGAAATGGCCACTTCGGCGTCACGAGGACACGACGTAAGCTGATCAAGTCCTCGTCGAATACTTTTCCGAGCCTTCTCATAAGATGTTACACCAGGAAGTGACCTTCCTATCGCTTCAAGGAGAGGGTAGCCATTTCTTGGTATATCCTTCGGCCACTATACTAAGCTTATCAGACTCCATTAATGTGAGATATAGTTTTCTGCTACACTTACATTGCACATAGCCTCCACATCTCGCAATAGCTTGGAAATTCGCAGCCGCAGTCGCCTCTCCTGGTCTAAGCCAGCCGTGTCGATGTAATTGGCGACGAGGAAGAGCTCAGCACCGAGACGCCCACATAATGGTCGCTTGGACTCAACACCCAGTAAAGACGCGATGTTGGCGACCTGGGCTATAGCAGTATAGGCAAAGTCTATCGGGTCCTCACTCGCCATTTCGTTTACGTTACGGTTCAGCATAGGTGACCATGGTAATGCGGGAGCACAAATGAGGCGGGCGAGCGATGCGGGGCAGACTCAGCTGATGATAGCGCGCGCCTATTCAGCGCGATCGCTGCAGATATGCCTTGTAAGCCTTCTTCACTAAATGCCCAAGCCCTCGACAAATTGCGAAGGACTCTCCGGTTGCTCGTCAGGGCAGTCCATTCTCATGATGAGCCTCGAGATCGGGTTTCTGATAAGTAGAAGCCCACGATGGCTTAGGATTTTGGGTGATTTTTTAGATATACATCCACCTCGGGGGCCTTAATCAATGATTACCTACTTTTTTGCAAAATTCGACCAGCGGAACTTGGTAACTTTAGGGCATCTCATGCCTCCTATAGTCTATCGCTCAACAACATCAAGTACCCATCAGCACCATCAACTAAACTACATCTACACCCTCCCCCTCAAAAACAACTTCCCCGGCCTCATCCACCTCATAAACCCCTGCACCCCAGCCATCCCAGCACCATTCCTCACCTCCCCTCCCTCCCTCACCCCTTTCACCTCCAACTCATAAAACTTCCACGACCTCAGAATCCACAAGCACACTGCCCCCAACACAAACATGCAAGCGACATACACCTGCGCACTCAAATACCCGGCCCCGCCCCCCGCCATACTGAGCGCAATCGCCTCGGCCACCAAGTTCGGCGCCACCAGCATCAAACACACCATTCCAAACGTCGACGGAAGACGATTCAGCCCCACCACATCAGTGAGTACAGGCGCAACAGTACCCCAGAAAGTGCCACAGACCATACCGCACAGCACAGCAAAGAGGAGAAGAAGCGCATATGAATGAGCAGGGATCCAGATAGCAAGACACAGGATGGCACACGACGCCGTCATCACCATGGAGATGGTGATGCGGCCGTAAGTGTCACTGATGTAGCCGACGACTGGACGGCCAAGGACAAGACCGAGGTTGAGGATAGCGCCGGCGACGGACCCCTGCTGCGGGGAGAGGCCAATGGAGGAGGCATAGTTGGGGAGAGAGTAGAGGAGGGTGATGTAGCCCAGGTCAGTGGAGATGCCCCAGACGATGACGAGGAGGACCTCGAAAGTGGCCGAGGTCGCGGTGGTTGAAGGTTCGTTGACGGGGTTGGGCGCGCGAGCGGGGCCGGTCTTTGAGGAGGAGGGAGGAGACGAGGTGGGAGCCCAGGGCGCAAAAAGCGAGGATGCGGTAGGTGGTTTGCACGCCCATGGTCTGGATGGCGCGGCCAGCGGCTAGGTTATATGCGAGGCCGCCGAGGCCAGCGCCGGAGGCGGCGATACCGCTGGAGAAGCTGCGTTTGGTGGAGAACCATTTGGGGAGGATGGAGGTGGCGGTTAGATAGATGAAGCCCATGCCGAAGCCGAAGGCAATGCCTTGGGTGAGCACGAGGTGCCAGACTTGGGTGGAGTAGGAGGCAGCGAAGAGACCGGTGAAGATGAGGGCTGTGCCGGTGAGGAGGGTGATAGTTGTGCCCAGTAATTCGTTGGATTTGGTGACGATGGGCCCGATCAAGAGGCACAGGGAGACTGAGAGGCCGCCGATGATTGCATAGTCTAGGTGGCTGGCGCCGGGGAAGGTTGAGTTGGAAAGGTAGTAGTCGAGGATTACACCCCAGGCGCTGTTGATGCCCCAGGTGTTTACGTTGATCATGAACACGCAGAATGTGCACACCCAGCCGTATCCGCCGTTGGGTGGTATGTCTTCCACTGTACTGATGTTGGTGGCATTCTCAAGGCTCTCGTTGCTATCAGCCTGGCCGGGCGGCTGTAGTTCGAAGTCATCTCTTACGGTGAGATGCTCGGTGCTGGGGTTCATTTTCAACTTTTCTTTGATGAGTTGAAGTGTACTTTTGTCTTGTTTTTCGGTTGGTTTGGTTGTGGAAGTCATGATGATAGTAGTGAGGGTTTATATGCCTGAGTCACGCTCACCCCGCCGTGACACGTCCGCCTGCAGACAAAGGCAGAAACTTGGAGATGTGTGAAAACCCGATCCGGGGCAGACTGTAGCTTGACGTTGGGCTTCAAAACATGATAGACAAGGCCAGTAGATCAATTGATTTATTGCATTAGTATATTACATATCAGATTCGGGGGTCCACATTCCATTCAATATCCTCCCGTCCAACTATGTCGACGCGTAATCTACTCGGAAATACCGGACTCGACCTTGCCATTCTTCTGCTGAACGGTTAGAGTTTTCGATAGATAAGAGGCAAGGGGAGTGGAGTGTCTTACCAGGGTACGGCTGTACTTCACACCGACATTGTTTCCGCTGCGGGAGTCGTAGGGGAAAGGGGTGGTGTAGTTGAAGGTAGCAGTCAGGCCCTTGTAGGTCTTCTTGACAGTAGAGAGAATTCCTTTGCCAGCGGAGCAGCTAGCATCAGTTGTAGGAACAGGCCAGCCAGCATAGTACTCGCTGTAGTCATCGTCGGACAGAGGACCCCAGTGAGTCTCGTTCATGAAAAGGTTGCTCGTGTCAACATCGTAGTTGACATAGCCGGTCTTCTCGGCCAGCCAGCTGAACAGGTTCGCACCGCAATCCCAGCGACCCAGGGAGGGAAGACCCCAGTTCGCGGACAGGGAAGCGATGACGGAATAGTGGGTGTAGAAGGTGTCATCCTTAGTGCCCAGGAGATCATCCGGGACGGCACCGCCGAGAAGGAAAGTATAGATGTTGTTACCAATCTCATAGGTGCCAGTCTCATCAAAGGTGAGCATAATAAGAGTGTCCTTGGTGAAGTAATCGTTTTCGAGAAGTTCGCTCAGGAAGCTCCAGGTCCAGGCACCGGAAACGGTGATGTTGGTGTCGTGGCCATCATTGGTCATGTTCGGGGTGATGAACATGTACTGGGGAAGACGGTGGTTCTCCAGATCATCGTAGAAGCTGCTGAAGTTCTTGATCTGGCGCAGACGGAGAGCATCCTCGGTGACCGAGTCGAACAAAATCAAAGGGTTGTGCTTGCGGACATAGTCGTTGGCACCGCTCTCGGGGTAGCGGTAGCCCTGGTATCCAGGGTAGGGGAGGCCTTCCTGGTATTCACCCCAGGCAATGTTCTTGGTGTCGAACAAATCGGCAATGGTAGACACGTTGGACGGAATCTGATGGAAGTCATCATTGTCCATGCCGAAAGTGTCACCAGCAGCGGATGCACAGTAGTTCGGCTCCGAAGGGTGAGTGACGGCCCAGAAGTTGCTCAGAAGGAGACCCTTCTTGGCCAGCTCCGCCAGATGTTCGTTGGCAGCAGCAGTATCATAATCCTGTCAAGAATGGCATGTCAGCTGTGGCTTAATCACTACATATACAACATGCAACAGCTCGAGACATACGGTGTTCTCCAACCAGATGTTCACGAAGCGGTTGAACGAGGTTCCCTTGACATTTGAGACCGGAGAGTAAGGCTGCACAGTAGCCTGTGCAGCACGAATCTCAGCCAAGGAGGGGTATTCCTCCGTGGTGGTCTGGGCCAGGGCCAGAGAAAGGCCCCCGAGGAGGGTCACGAGGGACTGCTTGGTGAACATGATGCCCTAGAAATCAGCAGACGAAGGCTGAAAGGAAAAGAGGGATCTGGCGGTAATATCCAAAGAGAGGCACACCAGACAAAAGAAAGTTTAGAATGATATCGGGCTGCTGAGGACATTCTTATATTTTTTCCTGACGGCTGCTGCGAACTCTATACCGGTCCATCACGCGCGTGGTTATCCGTGCCGCAACTATTCTAGCCCGGAGCAATTTAATCAATCAATTGCGATTGGACAGGCTTGCCTAACCGATGATGCCGGCATACAAGACCCCACAGAATCTGCGTCGCCATGGTGGAACGTTATCGGCTGGCTTTCGTGCATAGCAGGATTGCAGATGACACCGTCTGGTGAGATGCTCTGCACGTTGCAAGGCGATTGTCGCTGACTGGCCGACAGGGAAATGCCCGCTAAGGCCTAGTTTGGCAAGGGGGAAGCTTAGACAGCATAATGTGACATTCTATTGGCCAATGGTTCGACCACTCAGCCAGTGGGGAGCACGGGACTCCTCGTCCCTGGCACGTGCCTGCAATGCCTTCCGCCAGCGGATGGTTTGGCACATCGTCTTTCAGTCCAAAAGGCTCGCTTGCGATGGGACTGCAGTAGTCCATCTTATGTGGAGAATCCATCACGATGAGTCTGCAGTGCGTGGCTGTCGTACACAACTGACGGGCGCGCTAGGAACTTGCCGGGCTACTGGGTACAATACGGAAAGTGAAATACTACTGGTGGTTCTGAATAACAGGTTGAACTCCATTAGTCGTTGCTCTCATTATTTTGCTGTAGTCAACTCTATCGATCTATATACCTTGTTGACCTGTCTGGTCATACCTGCGTAGCATGTAAATCCATCGGCATCATACATTCTATCCCCCATCCAGTCTCCGCTTAAGCAAAGAACTTGGCCTCACCCTCCTTCAGCTTGCCAGCACCAACCAGTCTCTTGACCTCTTCGGCGTACACGTTCTTGACGGCAGCAGCGTCCTTGCCAGCGGCGCTAAGGCGTCCAGCCAGACCAGCAAGCTCCTCAGCATCGATCTTGCTGATGACGAGGTCAACGTCGCCCAGCACGGAGTCAACCTGAGCAGCGGAGGGCTCGCCACCCTCGCCAAAGTAGTTGACGTCCTTGACAGAGCCCTTGAGGACACGCTTGTTCTTCTTGGCGGCGTTCTTAGCAGCCTCCTTGGCCTTCTTGTTCTGCTCACGCTCGGCCTTGGCAGCCTCCTCGGCGTCCTTCTTGCGCTGCTCCTCCTCCAGGCGGGCCTTCTCCTTCTCCTCGGCCAGACGCTTGATCTCAGCCTCCTTCTCGAGACGCTTGCGGTCCTTATCGGCACGGGCAGCCTTACGGAACTTCTTGATACGCTCGTCACCAGCGGCGCAGTCGTCCACAAGGTGGCGGAGACGGGTAGTGTCCTCGGTCTTGCGCTTGCGGCGGGCGTTGGCGTTCTTCTTCTCCATGTGACGCTTCTGGTCACGGTTCTCGTTGTCATCCGGCACATCCTCGTCCAGGTACTCAAAGGTACGCCAGCTGTCGAAGTCGTACCAGAAGTTGTAGAAGGTCTCGACCTCCTCCTGGGTGCTGTTCTCGTCACCCAGCTGGGGCACAGGCTGGATCTTGGAGAAACGGGCCTCGGACTCGAAGACAGGGCGCCAGAGCTTGAAGAAGTTGCCCTTGGCAGCCTCCTTCTTGGTGGGGGGCTCGACATCGGCGGCCTCGTCTACGGAGTCGAACTGACGACGCTTAGTGGGGTCCAGGAGAACCTCAGTAGCCTTCTGGATACACTTGAAGAAGCTGTCGTTCTCGTCGCGATCACCCATGGCGGCCTTCTTGTCGGGGTGGTGGCGGAGGACCTTCTTGCGGTGGGCGCGCTTGATCTGCTCGGGGGTGGCACGCCAGCGGTACTTGGACAGACCGAGGACCTGGTAGTGATCTTGGCTCTGTAATGTGTAAGAATCATGCCAGTATCAGTGACCCTGGTAATGCATACCTTCCAGTCCTTGGCATCTCTGGAGAGCATCATAGGGTCCTCATCCTCAGAGATGTCATCATCCTCCTCATCCTCAGTGCTCTTCACATTCTGCTGAGCCTGGATTCTCTCATCCTCGGAGAAGGTACGGTGGTGACGCTTCTGGAGGGTTGTTAGCAATGAGCCATTATCGCACTAGACCTGTGGCTGGACACATACTCTGCGAGCGTGGGCCAGGAAGTGAGGGCCAACGGGCTCAAGGTTCCTCTGGGTGGCAGCGGAGACGGTGCCAACGGCCTTGAAGTCCTTATCGGCACTCCAGCCAGAAGGCAGGGAGGGAAGAGTAACGTTGATGGTCTGAACGGTAGCCATGGTCAAGAACAGAGCCACGCGGGGTGATTTGAGGGGAGAATGGGAAGAGTGAGAAGCGCCCAACGGAGTGTTTGAGCAAAAAGACAAAGTGCTTTTCCATTTTTTTCTGCCCCGACTTGCCGCCGCCCGGTGGGCCAATCAAACCTTGGATGTTTCGGAGGTCATCGAAAGTCATGGACTGCCGCAGGGAACGACGGCCAGATTGCAACCTTTTCGCTTGTTGATTAGATCTTCTTCTTATATATCTTTGTTGTTTTGGTTGTAAATCTATATTAAGGCTTCTTCTTTTAGAGAGTGACGAGCTGCATTCGCCTGACGACCATTTTCTTTATCACCAGACCACCCGCTACTATCGCAGTACGCCACCCCAAAAGACGCAGTTTACAAGGAGACAACTTCTCAAAGTGAAGATAACAGGTCCAATTCCTTGATAGATCCCACTATTCAACTACATAATGGCCTCCCAAACCGCCCTTTCCGCACGCAGTGCTTACCGCCAACTCCTCCGCGCTACCCGTATTGCCTTCCAGGGTCAGTCGCCGCCTCAAGAGCCATAGGTCTGTTCAAGGCTAACCATTCTCTACATGCAGATGATGTCCGTGTTATGATTGCTGCGCGTCAAGAGGCTCGCCGCAATTTCGACAGTCACCGCCGCGAAGGCATTGATACTCCGATGCAGATCAACCATGCGCTCGAAGTGGCGAACATTCTCAGACACAACATTGTCCAGGGTGTACGGGAACAAGACGATGAGAATGCCAAGTGGGGTGAGTAGCTATCAGAGGATTTATATTATGGCTGAGTATATGACGCTGACTGGGGTTCCCATTAGAACTCCGCATTCATGACGACATCGAGCGCGGCGATAACGACACCATCAGAGTCAAGGGAAAGACTGTCAAGGTGGATAAGGCATGCTCGTCATAGAGGGAGGTTTCCCGTTGTGGAATCTGACCGTCTGGAAGCCTATGCGTGGGTGAAAGGATGACTGCAGACTATGGCATTTGCAGATTGTATTATAGTATACCCAAACTTTTCTCTCTCCTTCCGGCGTCTCTTTGGGGGTATTTTATGGTTTAATCACAATGTAGAAAATATACACAACAACGCCCGCTCGCGAACAGACATAAGACCTCCTTGTTCCCGGACCCCGTAGAAAACAAGCCAAAATGCAAGTCGAAATGCAGATCAATCACCAGACAAACTGGAGTACTGGACCTCTCCAGCGCCCGGGGGTGGGGCGACAGCATAACTCCGTTGTTTTTGCTCTTTGCCAATCTCCTCTCCGGCAGCTGTGATGGCCTTCTTTCCAGAATCGGCTCCCCGCGGGCCTGCCGCCTGCCGACCTTCCCGCGCATTCTTCAAGCGTTCCTCCCGATCCATGTTATCCAACGGCTTGGGCTTACCCCAGCGAACGCGCAGAGGGCAGCCCTGGATGACAGCCCGACCCTGGCACTGCTTGGCAGCCGCCTCAGCACCTTCCCGAGTGGCGAAGTTGACGAATGCAGAGTGAGCACGGTGGGAGCAAATGAGCGACCGCAACTGTCCAAACTGTGTGAAGAAAGTCCGCAGCGTGTGTTCTGGAAGATCGTCCTCGACACCAGTAACAAAGAGCGATGTGATATTCGGGTCCGCGGGCGGTAGGATATCTTCTGCCGATGGGGGGACCTGAGCGGCGCTAGGGAATGGTCGGCCACCACGACCACCACGCATACCTCCTCGTCCTCTACCCGGAAGTGGCGTTCCCCTCCTGCTTTCGCTCGTCCGAATGGGCCCCGGACCATTCCCGTAACGGCTGTGTACAACCGGTGCGTCGCTGGGCCCTGCACTCGCGCCCTCCTCGTCTTGGGGTGCGGCCTCTATCTGGCGGGGCTTCCTGTAGTAGGGTTCACTGTTGGCGAGTCTCCGAAGCAGCTCCCGAGCTTTCTCGTCCGTCTTCTCGTATTCCTCCACCGCGCCACGCCCCTCTTCGATCTCCTTCTCGTGACCTTGTGCGTAGTATTCGCGGTTGATGGTGCTTTCGGGACCTGGAGCGACCATCTTCAAAGCAGCATCACGAACGACGATCGGCAGCCCGAAGGACAGATCCAGCATACAGCATTGACAGCAGTTCTTCAACCGCGCGCAGGTCAAGCAGATGGCAGTACGCTTCTGGCGCGCGGTGCGGTCGGCTTTCCAGCGGAAGATGGTGAAAGGACGCGTGCACTGGGTATCTGTTAGTGTCATATGTTTGTGTGATTGAGGATAGGGTTGCCTACAATCTTGCATTCTGCGCCATGGTCTTCCTTGAGCATCTGAACGTAAGGATTGTCGGGCAGGCAGTTCTCGCACACGGAGGGGAAGTCAGTGGTCTCCCATCCGGACCGGTTCAGATCCTGCTTGATCTGTGGAGGAGGCATGTTGTCGTTATATGGATCAGCTGCGCTTCCACACAGAAACGCGAAGCCCTGCGGAGATGGTGCGGCGAAGTTGAGCGTTGTCGGTAGCAAGAACTGGATTATCGATAGTCGTAGTGGCGCATTTGTGGCTGAGGTGTGGCTATCATGACATAAGCATTCCTAGTCACGTGATATTACTGCAGGCTCTTGCATCGCATGCATGAGATGAAACAACCCGAGTGGTCATTCAGGTATTTGCGCAAGGAGGGTAGTTATCTCATTGAGGTGTGTGACCCTCAAACATACAGGGTCCGAAATGAAACCTTGCGGTCCAGGCCCTGATCCTGCGATATCAAACATGATGGCATAGCCTCCCTCTGTGCGACCTGCGGATCCAGTGATGCCTGGTGGAATACGCACTGGATACGCGATACGCGATACGCAGCTCCCCGATACAGCCAGGAACGCCCTGGTCAACTGCCTAGAGCGGCTTAGCGCGTGTCCACCGTCACGCTCGGAAACAACTTTTTCCCGGCCAGAACCCCAGGATGCCTGTTCGGGCCTAGCCCCCCGCCGTCTGGTTGGCTGGCCAGCGGCACAGCGGTGATTGGCTGGGGAAATGTCAAAGTCAGTCGTAATTCCGCCTCCCCTTTCTTTCGGACGATCGCATTAACTGCTGCGTTGGCCTCGCTTGCTTCTTCGTATCCTTTCGTTTTCCTCTTCCTTCACTTCTGTCTGCCTGTCTGGCCTTTCTTCATTTCTCAGGATCGTGTTTGTGGTTATAAAACTGCCTCAATCGCCTCTCCAAGTCGCCGTCTCCGAACCACTTACTCCGGACACCTGTGCTTCTTGACCGATCCACCCCTTTTTATCCCACTTTAATTTCCATTTGCTGTCAACAATGGCTCCCGCAGCTCTCGAACAGGAGAACCATGCGCGTGATGCGGAGTTCAACCGCGTTCTCCATGGAAAGTCCGCTGAAGCTCAGGGTGGTTTCGCTGCCATGCGCAACAAGGATGCTGCCGCTCAGAAGGCTGCTGTCGACGAGTACTTCAAGCACTGGGACAACAAGAGCGCTGAGGAAGAGACTGAAGAGATCCGTGCGGTACGTTTGCGACTCTCTCCTTTTCGATATTAAATCTCAGCCTTGTACTAATATTTTGACGTTCTAGGCCCGTCGCGCCGAGTATGCCACCTTGACCAGACAGTACGTGCTGCCATTAGGACCCAATCCATGACTTTGGCCTTATATACTGACTCGAAGTCTCCATAGCTACTACAACCTTGCGACGGACTTCTACGAGTATGGATGGGGTACCTCCTTCCACTTCTGCCGTTTCTCCCCTGGCGAAGGCTTCCAGCAGGCCATCGCTCGCCACGAACACTACCTCGCTCATCAGATCGGCATCAAGTCCGGAATGAAGGTTCTCGATGTTGGCTGCGGTGTCGGAGGCCCTGCCCGTGAAATTGTCAAGTTCACCGACGCCAATGTTGTCGGTCTGAACAACAACGACTACCAGATCCAGCGTGCTACGCGCTATGCTGAGCGTGAGGGTCTGGCCCACAAGCTGACCTTCGAGAAGGGAGATTTCATGCAGATGAAGTTCGAGGACAACACCTTCGACGCTGTTTACGCAATTGAGGCTACCTGCCACGCTCCCGAGCTCGAGGGTGTCTACAAGGAAATCTTCCGTGTCCTGAAGCCCGGTGGTGTTTTCGGTGTCTACGAATGGTTGATGACTGAAGAATACGACAACAACAACGCCGAGCACCGCAAGATCCGTCTTGGTATCGAGCAGGGTGACGGTATCTCCAACATGGTCAAGGTCTCCGAGGGCCTTGACGCCATGAAGGGGGCCGGTTTCGAGCTCGTCCACAACGAGGATTTGGCCGACCGCCCCGACACCATCCCTTGGTACTACCCCTTGGCCGGTTCCTTCAAGCACTTGACCTCCCCCTGGGACTTCTTCACGATCGCCCGCATGACCTGGTGGGGCCGTGGCATTGCCCACCGCTTCGTCGGCGCCATGGAGAAGGTCGGTCTTTTCCCTAAGGGCTCTCAGAAGACTGCCGACAGCTTGGCCCTGGCTGGTGACTGCCTTGTTGCCGGTGGTGAGAAGAAGCTGTTCACTCCCATGTACCTCATGGTTGGCCGCAAGCCCGAGTAAGCGGTTTCACCAAAAAAAGCTTGCATTATGCGATAACGCCTGTACAAATTGTTCTGGGACAGCATCCTATTGCATAGACAGCACGGCGGTCTATGTTCTTTAATATCCGGGTTTTCTTTTCCTTTATATTTCCCTATGTTTCATTTCCTTTCTTGTGTGTCATTATATTGCATACCGCCGCGGGATGCTTTGTTTTCGTTAGTGCGTTTGCTCTTTCCCCCTCTGTTACTTTTCCCATCTCATGTCCTGCCCATACGGGAATGGGCAGTGTACGATCTCACTGCTGAGTATTATGTGCCGATGGTGATGATTCCATTCTGTTGCTTGTCATTTGTTGTTCAGAATAGATTTAATAGCGAGTATCAGGAATAACGAGTCTCAAAATTACCCATTTCACACACTTCTCCTATCAACACCGTAAATATAAATCAGTCTCATCTTTCTTTGAGCACTACCTCCAATGACCTTCTACCGAGCCACTTCAATCTCCTTCGCCTCCGCTCCCTCCTTCTCCTTCTCATCCAAGAACTCCTCCGCCACGGGATTAGCATGACTAACCACCGCATCCTTGCCATCGAAGAGCAGCGCAATCTGCTCCAGACTCGGTCCTTTAGTCTGAACATATATCAAAATGTTAGCCACCACCATAATTTCCAGCCAAATCATGTGTGTGTATATATAGATATAGATATAAAGGACATGAGAAGGACAGAATGAACACTAACCTCAATAAAGAAGAAATACACCACCACAAACTCAACGATAATCCACCCTACATAGAAGAAATAATACTTCCATGCGAACGCATCGATTCCCAGCGGATTTACATATGTGTTGAATGCCCCGGTGGCGCCAGTGACGAGCCAGAAAAGGGCAATGCCTTTGGCGCGGATAGAGTAGGGGAGGATTTCGACGACTGCGTTTCAGTCAGCCATTGCAGTTAACCGGTATTCGGTTCCATCTTGTATGAGGCTTTATGTCCAAGAAGGGACCAAAAAGGGCATTGAGGTAAATACTAACCATATAGCATCATTGCACCCGTCCAACCAAGATTATGTACTCCATTGTATATGTAGATAAAAGCGACAGTGGCATACGATGCAGACTGACTACCCGTTTCGACAAATACGCCCGTACAGGCTGTTATGAGTGCAAAGACAAGCCAGATGAGTCCCATGGACCAGAGCAGGAGGGGCCTACGGCCCACTCGGCCTGGGAGGAAGGCGAAGGCCAGCGCGCAGGCGAAACTGAACATTTGGCTTGTTGCTGTGATTAGGGTCGTGTCGACTTCGCGGGTTATCCCGGCGGATTTGAGCATGCTGCTGAGGTAGTAGCTTATTAGGCCGTTGCCGGACCATTGTTTGCAGATTCCTGGTTTTTTTGGTATTAGATGATGGTGGTGATTGGTTTGGGGGTACATGGACTCACCACACCATATGAGGATGAATGAACGCCATCTGTTCCCGCGGGAGTTGATCAGTTCTTTCCAAGAGGTCTTCTTGGCCGCGATCTCGAGCTCAATGGTTTCTTTCATTTCTTGATATTCCTGTTGCACGACGATGTCTTGAGCGTCGCCGTTGCCGTGGTATTTGGCTAGGATGGCGAGGGCAGCTTGTTCACGGCCGCGGCTGATGAGCCAGCGGGGGGATCTGTGGTTGTTAGTGATTGGATGAGATCACTGCTTGGTCTGACTTACTCTGGAAGAACGAATGCTCCAATTACTTGGATTATTGAAGGAAGCGCTTGGAAGACGGTGGGAATGCGCCATGCCCTAGCTTTGATAAGGATGAGGAAGTATGGTCTCGGGCAGTTGGGCATACCATGCATTTGCAAGTCGGAATGTTCCAAATGTAATCCACGCTGCGATGATTGAACCAGCGCTGTATGTAGTGTTCGACATGGACGTTGCTGTCGCTCGATGGGCTGGGTAGGCTAATTCGCCCATCCACACTGGCCCGATCGCAGCCACTACTACACCCCCCATGCCTAGAAGCAAGCGAGCTGCGATGAACAGACCAGCACTGGAGGCGCCGGTAGCCATGCCAGTACCGGCAAGGCACAGGATCGCACCGAAGAAGAGGCAGTATCTTCGTCCGAGCCTGTCGGAGATGAAGGAGATGAAGACGACGCCGACGATATTTCCTGAACTTATAGTCAGACTAAGTTAGAGGTCGCTGGGGTCAGTGTACTGTCTGACCTATCCAGTACATCGCACTCATGGCTCCCAGCAGGCTGCCATGAGGGTGATTGAAATCTGTATCGCATGGTCAGTCAACCGGACTAGCTGCAAAGTCAATACTTGACATGCCCTCCTGCCAAACATTCAGCTCCTGCACATTATTGATCAAAGAAGCATCGTATCCTTGAGTGAACTCGCTGAACATGAGGAAGAACAGCATCAAGTTCAGCTTTCGTAGACCAGTGTCCTTCCACCATGGCCCTTGTTTGTTGCTCACCACCGTGGTGTCCTCAAGCGCTCTACGGTCGACGGGCTTCCGCGCACCAACTGCCATGATGAAGTCGGGTTGATTCGATAGTACCCCCTAGTACTGCCGCCAACTCCCATCAAGGAGATATATACGGAGTCTGTAGCGAAGGATCCTGAGGCATGTCTTGCCTAAGCAAGATAAGCATGCCCAGGCTATTACCCGGGGCCAAAACCTGGGGGAACTGCGGGGCTGATCGTGCAGATCCCTCCCCAAGGTTGCATAGGAATTTCGGCCTAAAGCCATCCGAGGCGGCTGGAAAACACACCTTGTGAGCAGCTCAGATAGCTTGTGGCGATTGCCTAGCTCTCCTGTTGGTGGAAAATGTATTCCTAGTGCGAGTGACTGCGTCGCCACAAGCAAGAGTTGACATGTAATTGACTTTCGGGTTGCAGGCGCCCACTAGTATTGCTGCTACTATCTACTGTTCTTAGTGCTCCCAAGTAAGCCTATTCATTATCACATGCTCCTCATTGTGCCAGTTCATTGATGTCGAACTGTATCACGGTAACCTTTCTTTTACCTTCTTTATCATCCCTCAATATGAGAACAGACAGAAGCTCAAACTTCGTGAAGGCCTCTTCGTCGATCAGTGGTTCTCCACTGTATCCATGTTCTCTCCATACCACACGAAACTCTCCATCTATATCAGTCATACTCCTCCGCGCAATCAGCAGTTCATTCCCCGTATTCGACGGAAGAATGAAGAAGACAGAATTGAGCTTCTCGCTATGGACAAGTTTGCCCCGAGGGCCTGTAGGCGTAGGATAGATTTCAGGTAGCGCAAAAAAGGCCCACTGGTTGTCCGACGAAGAGCGGTAGTAATGCATCCATGTCTCCTTTCCGGTGGTATTTTCCCGATTCAGGACATGCACTCCTCCCTGAGAGTCAACGTACTGTGCCTCCTGATTCATAATACCACTGTTTCGAGGGATATTCCTGACGAGTAGTTGACTATCTTGGGACTCGAGTCCGGTCCCTGGACGTGCTGACAGAACAGTCACTGACTTCTGACTTGGTCCGTTCCATGTAGCACCATTGTCTCGACTGTACGCATAATATAAACCTTCGTTATTCTCGGGACCATTAGGTCCAGCTTGCGCTTTGTGGGCCGTGGAAGCACCGTCCTTTGCTCCTTCATACTCGATGAAATGTCGGTTAGTCCAAGTAACATGTAAGCTGTTCGTTGGTAAATGATAGGACATTCCATTGGGATATGGATTACACTGTCTTCCAACCAGATAGGTTCCCAAATGGACAAATTGGGCGGTGTCGGGACTGTAACGATATAGGACATCGGAGCCGGCACCTGCTCTACGGATAATCGTCAGATTCTGCTTGTCCGGAGTTTGCACCCTACATACTTTCCAATGCGACACTCAAAATACATTTCTCTTGCTGCGGGTATAAATCGTGGATATGTAACGTCCAACAAACCGTCGCAGCCGGGTAGATGATCTAGGATCGGGCTGAAGTTGCTTGCCACCCAACTCGACTTGCTCGTGTCATTTGCCAGACCTGATCGCGAGATGCGATATTTCAGCGCATCGCAGTGGTGGTCAAACGACACATGAATTGTTCCATCACCGGCACAGATCCCTATGGATATCGTATTATGTCCGTCATCGGTCGTCTGGTCGTAATCTTCGAAAGTCAAGTATTGCCAGTTGGAGGAAGTGTCTTGAAGATCATGGCGCGCAATTGTCACTCTTCTAGAGTCCGACTCTTCCCGCGGAGTATAGAAAGCCACATACTGGATGCTGCCAGAAGTTGTGATTGCTGACTGTTGATATGCACAGGCGTTTAGGCGATGCTCGGTATTGGGGTCGTCCCCAAGAGCAGTAATTGATGGAATAGCCATGACTAGTTCAGCAATATCAGGTGCGCCAGAGTAATTTGGCTATGCAGACTTTTGGTGAATGATAGACTCCCAACTAGGAAGAGAACTACGCGATTCCGCGAGGCACGTGAACTGGCTCGACACGGGATCGAGAGAAGACTGCGGCCGAGCATCTCCCCTCCCAACATCTCCTCCCTATTTCTCTTTTCACCCTATAACCGAAGGAATATGGCTATCGACTGGCCTCCAGTACAGCTGATGTTTGGTGGAAGAACTTCTGGTCCATTCGTCACTGCCCCGCCCCCGCAATGACAGGGATCTCCGCCGGTGTCCATCGATGGCCAGCCATTCACCGATCGTCTTCAATAAACTCTGACGATGTTTGATCGCCCCCTCACATCAATTTATCCGAGCTGACTCCATAATAACCGATGGCACGCCCGGGGGATGTATGAGTTCGAGCAATCCAGTTCGATTAACTTCGGCAATTGAAATAGGAGTCTCTGGAGGCCGTTGAGCAAGTACTCCGTGCTACAAGCATAGACAGGGTCGCGTTATGTACAATTCAATTGGAACCCTAGTTATGTCTGGCATCAGGATGGATGCTCTCATTGCTTTGACTCTGTTGCTGATTACTGGAAGCGGAGTCAATGGCCTCGCATTTGAAATCCCATCGTCAGCTCCAGCAAACTCCAGTGGTCAGCTAGACGCTGCTCCTGTGGGAGTTTCGTAAGTCACCTGTTCTACTTCAAGAGAACTGATTTCTGACTATGACAAGATTCGAGTTCTTCGCCTTCCCGGAATACTTCCAGCAACTACCATTGACAAATTCTTGTTTGGGACAACTGCAGGATGCATCAGGATCCTACTCGCCCATTCGAATTGGAGGCACAACGCAGTGAGCTATCCAGGTTTTCCTTTTACTTCGACCTATCGTCCTAAATTATTCTCAAGGGATCGTGCGACATACAATGCCTCTTTATCGTCGGCGGTCTCTTACAGCGTCGACTCGCCGGATGATGCACCAGAGTCACTCACGTTTGGTGACTCTTTCATGGAAATAGCAGCAGCCTATGAAGGGGCGGTGACAATTGGTAGGTCCTTGATGTCGCCCAGAAATTATTCGCAGGTGCCCTTATTAATTTCACAAACCGCAATGCTGAGATGATGTTTAGGGCTTAACAGACGGCTGGATAATATCGACAATACAATCGCCGCAGCGAAGATCGCCAAATCAAATATTGCCAATCTCTATGCCATCGAGCTTGGAAACGAACCAAACTGTACGTTCACAGTATGCACTTAGTTTCAGGAAAGCAGCGCTAATCCTTATCAGTCTTCACCTCAAGTGATCCAATCGCGGATGGTCAGTCATGGACAGCTGCAGCTGATGCAGCCTCGCAGGTCTCGTGGCAAGCGTCGGTAGGGAGTGCTTTGGACGAGACGTCTTTCGCCCAAGCCGGGGTCTTCTTCGGCGTGGGTACATTTAACGTCAGCAATCTAGCCGAGAAAGAGGAAGAAACCGACAGCACCCAATACGTGCGTTCTTTCTGCCACCATTACTATCCACAATCCGCGTCTACCGCGGACCTAGTTGAATTGATGAGCCACACCGAGATAGTGGAGAGAGTGTCAGAGTTTCAGAGCCAGATAGTGGCTGCACAGGAGCTCGATAAAGACTTTGTCATGGGAGAAACCAACTCGGGTATGTTTTCGCTCGGCGCGTGTCTGACCATATGCTAATGGAAGCCAGCGACCGGTGGAGGTGGTGGTATCAGCCCTACTTTCGGCGCCGGGCTTTGGATCCTGGACTATGTCATGCAAGCCACCATTCTAGGAGTTAAAGTAAGCCTACCGCCATACCATCCCCAGATCTAGAATAAGTCTTTTGGAATCTGACTTGGACAGCAATTATTCTTCCACCAAGGAACAATTGGCAACTGTACGTATTTCATGTTGTTGCTTATGCATGGTTGGCCGCAAGCTAATATTAGGTGCAAGGCCCGTATTGTTGGTGGGACGAGTCGGTGAATGCGCCATTCTACGGCGCCTATACTGCCGCCCTTGCCCTCTCTGGGGCCTCCAAAATTGCCCAGCTAGACACCGGGGATAGCAGGTTCGCAGCATACGCCTTCTACGATAGCAGTAACCAGCCCATCCGTGTGTTGCTGTACAACTCGGAGTATTACACCTCGGGGACGAGAAGCAGCGTGAGCGTGACATTGAGCGGCATTCCTTCGGCAACCACTTCGGTATCCGCGTTGCGATTGACGGGAGACGCCGCGACAACGATCGTCGGAGAGGGGGCGATCACCGTTGGACGGCAGACCTTTGCGAACGCGACATGCGAATTGCAGGGCACCAAAGATATGGAGGCGACCGCAGTAACAGCAGGGCGGGCAACATTTACTGTCCAGGCATCCGAGGCGTTGCTTATTTCTGTGTAACCTAAAACGAAGCACAAAAGCAACGATAGACCTGGTCGTATCAGATAAGATAGGAATGCACGGGACAAACCACGCTGGTCCAGCCAGGGGGCAATCCCTGGGTCCAGCTAAATTCCCTTAAGAGAATAGCCGTTAATCCGCTTGGCTCGGTCCAGCCGAGAGCGAAAAAGTTCGCTCTCGCGCTCCGATAAAGGCGAACTCTGGCACTCGGAGTTGGATCATTTACCTCATTCGGAAAATATCCCGGGTTGCCCGTTGCCGACACGCCATACAGCGATGAGTGAGCCGCCAGTGGAAAATTGTTGCGATGGGGTTACCAACAAGGCTAATCATGGACTGACTCCTTTTTAAATCTGACCATCGCTCCTCCGGGCCTGTCTCACCGCGGATGGCATGATCTTCTTGTCTGCCGTGGTCTTCCCTCTTTCCTACACTACCTTTATCCTATTTCTCCCCACACATCGGGTCTACGTCCCTATATTTGGGCCAGAGTATGAGCTCCGATAAGGTACAAATGGCCGAGGCTGGCGACAAGGCTGAAGTCCCTCCTGCGGCCGTCTCGTTCTTCGATCCCGCTCTGAAAGCTGTTCGTCGCAGCGTGTTCTTCCAGTGGGGCCGGACAGGTTAGTGCCAGACCCATCAATCATTATTGGGTTCTTTTGCTAATTTGTATGCTATAGTCTTAATACTCTGTGTCTTCATCCTTTGCATCCTATCACTATTCTGGGCCGTACAATTCCACGCAGAGTCTCGATTTTCTGCTTTGACGGTTTGGGTTGTCGACTTCGATGGCCAGCTGGAGCCCTACCGAAATGAGACTCCAATTGTGGGCCCGATCGTGACAGAGGTTGTGGACCATATACTTGATACGAGCACCGAGCATCTAGGATACACGATCAAGTCTCCTGCGGACTTCAACAATGACCCCTGGGCTGTGCGCCAGTCCGTGTATGACGAGCATGCTTATGCAGCTGTGATTATCAATGCCAATGCCACTGCTCTTCTTCGCAACGCTGTCATCAACGGAAACTCGTCCTACGACCCCTACGGTGCGGCCGAGTTCGTCACGATCAGTGCACGCGATCCGACCACCTATTACGACTACATCAATCCCTTTTTATACGATCTCGACATGGCCGTCCGGTCGTCCTTTGGACTACGCTGGATACAGTACGTCGCTCAGCAAGGGTACAACATCAGTCAAGTGCCACAGGCCATCAACCCAGGAATTGGATTTACCTCCGTTGACCTTCGACCCTTTGCGCCAGCCGTCATAACTCCGGCCGTGAGCATCGGTCTCATCTATCTGATCATCCTTGCCTTCTTCAACACCCCGTTCATGATGCCCATACACATTCAGTTCATCAAGGGCAACCACCCTCCGCTGAAAATCCCACAGTGGCTCCTATGGCGCATCCTGTCCAACATTGGCACATACTTCTTCCTATCACTCTTCTACTCCTTTGTGTCCCTGGCCTTCCAGATCCCGTTCAGCAACCCCTCCGCACCCGACACTCAGGTAGCCTACAACCCCAACGGCTACGGCCACGGCTCCTTCGTTGTCTATTGGATGTTGAACTGGGCGGGCATGTGTGCCCTCGGTTTCCCATGTGAGAACATGGCGATGATTATCGGTCTTCCTTGGAGTGCGCTCTTCCTCATCTTCTGGGTCATCACCAACGTGGCCACTGGTTTTTATGCTTTGGATCTGGCTCCAGGCTTCTTCAGATGGGGTTACGCCTGGCCTCTTCACAGGAGTAAGTTGCTCCCTCATCTCTCGCAGTTAAACAATCTAACATATGGTAGTTGTCGAGGCAATTCGCACTATTCTCTTCGATACGCATTCTCGGATCGGACTTGACTTCGGTGTCCTATTCGCCTGGATCGGTTTCTCGATCTGTCTATTCCCGCTCGCTGCAGCGTTTATGAATTGGAAGATCAAGCGGGGCTGGGCGTGAAAGGCTCATGTTCTGGTTTTAGAGATCAAAAGCAATAGACGGTTTTGATATTCTTTCGGCGAGCATAAAACTGGGTTCTAAAGCTCGGCATTTTATTTCTTTCTTAATGTGAGTTGGGTTGATGATGGAGATAGGCAATGTGCCTAAGGGGTTCCTTTCGGGTATATATTTTTATTTATCTATTTTAGACAGTTATAGATCCATTATTTATCAGATTCTAGCTTTACATACATTTTCATATTAATAGTACCATGGCATGATCGGAATACCAGTGACTACATAACTACTTCACTGACAGCATTCTATCAGCCCGGCAGTAACTTGGGGTTTTAGTTCTCGTTGTCAATGGCTGCTAGAAGTAAGATGTACAAGAAAAAATAATAAAAATAAAAAGAAATGAAGTGAAATGAATACTAACTTCATTGGACCTGTCAAGAGATCTGAAACACTCATGCAGTCACGTGACAGGCGGTTGCGGGAAACCAAAAAGGAAATGTCCCGAGGGAGGTTCGAACTCCCGGCCTTGGGATCGCATGGAAGTTATGCTTCCACGTCATACTGTAGTATGAGACCCACGTGATAACCAACTACACCATCGAGACGACTTGTTGAAAGCCGTAACCATTATTTAGTTTATATACCGTCCACCTTGTTTCACAACGCCATCTTGTGTGGGTGACATGGGAGTTTCGATTTTGTGCTATTCGATGGTGTTATTTTCGTAGGAAGCTTGATTATATTTAAGTTACTTGTGTTGAGATAAAGGGCTGTATGCTGTAATTAGTTCTTTCATGCGTTCTTGATCAGTGACGAGAACCTGTGTGTCACTGCCGTCTTGGTCCACTGGTATATATATTCGAACAGCAGCAGTCATATCACAGCCACAGGGAATTTCTATAGTATGATGATTTTGTGATGGGAATAATACCATATTCACAAACACAGCTAAAGCCAAATAATACCACGCAAGGGAGAAAGTATCACGCTGCCCATAGAAATTTGAACGGAACATCAGAATATCGTCGCATTTACCTCACCTCGACAAATGTAGCTCGATATGGGTCCGGGGTTTAATCACAATCCCCAGACTCAATGGGGATTCAGTAGCAAAGTAAATCCCGCTATTCCGGATCTGGCATGCACCTCGACAGACCTTGAATTTCGAAGTCGCTGCTGGTGGCGTATTGTCCTTCTTAGTACTTCCAACTTTTAGCCCAGCATGCATCCGCACATACAAAAGTGGTGTTTCATATCCATATCCCCTCACCGATCCAACCTAACTAGCTGAGATTAACCCTCCGTGGTGATTATTGACAGATTTAAACATCATTAACGTAACCACAACCGCGCGGCCCAGCTAATAATGCCATATAAAACCCATTTGTAATAGTTGAAATATCTCAACCATTTGAGAAGTATAAGACTCTATATTGAGTATATAGATTATAGTAAGTATTAATTCATTTTTAATATTTTTCTTCAAGATCTTTATAACTACATATAATAGCTGGTAATATAAATTACATGTAAAATACATATATCTATTTACTATTAAAAGATTTTTAAAATAATTTTGAGTAAGTCTAGTATATTTATATTCTAGTGGCTAGGCTTTATCTAATCTAAAAGTCTCATAAGAACTGTATTTATTCTTAGAGGTTAAATATTCTGAAAAAGATAGATTTTGTATGGCATTACAAGATGGGCCGCGCGATTGTGGTTTACGTTGTCAGCCTTCAAGGCGGTGTTCCGTGCAATCTAATAACCAGCTAACATAAACCACAATCGCGCGGGCCACACAATCAAGCGGGCCACCCTGCTTTCCCAATTCCCATATAAAAGATGCCTTTTTAGTCTTATTATAGCTCAGCCAATACAGCGTTTGAGAATTTCTAAGTTTATATATGTATTTCATATTGAAGATTAAATACTATAACTCCTTTTTAGATTTTTAGTATTTTTATTACAAGATATATCAAAGTTTCATATAATACAGTAAAATTACAGGAATGTAATATATAATGCTATTATATATACTTATGGAGATTTTAAAAAAAGGTCTGCAGTTTCTCTATATTATCTAGAATCTATATATCAAGACTTTACATCTCTAGGTTCTTGATGGTTGGGTTGTCTTGAATTGAAAGAGGATCATTAATATAGTATTACAGGGTGGCCCGCCTGATTGTGTGGCCTGCGCGATTGTGGTTTACGTTATGTGGCCAACTTTGAAAATGGGGTGTCTGTATTTCTGATACAGTACCGAACAGCGACATTCGGGTCAGTTGTCTCGCCGGTTTCATAGTCTTTCGACTACGGTGATGAAGGAGCCTTTGTCCCGTCACTGTGCATTGACAATGGTGCATATAGAAATTAACACTCCGTCAGCAATGCATTTCCGACGTCAACGAGGCCGGATCGTCCAGTGTGGGGTTGGAGGAGGACGCTGATTTGCTCCGGCGAAGATGACAAAATAAAGTGCTAATGAGCCTTTCCATCCTCGTCCCGTGCGCCAATGTTTCGCTAGTGCTTATCTTCGTCGGGCGACCAATAGTTATCTCATTAAGGCCGCCATATCGTCGGAATCAGCGGCCTGTCCCATCTTTCCCTCATGTGGCTTCTTAGAGAGTTTCCTCGTATCTGCTTGCACGCCAATCGGCATTCGGTTGTTGTCGAAGCTACTCGGGCCAAGCTGTCATCAGCTCCCCAGCCTTGATACAAGCACCATAATTGTCAACTGAATGTACTTCTACGAGGACTGGGTAATGGATTTATCTTCGACAATCTCTAACCATCTCACGCATCTTCAAGGTTCGAGTGGAGCAAGCCGAAAACGTCCGTCGCCATGTGAACGGACTACTTAAAGCATGGCTTCTCAGGCGTCCAATGCTAGCGTGCACCTCAACCCGCACTGCTACATAAGGTCTCCGCGCTAGTAAGCAACAATTTCTCCAACGGCCCGTATCCAGAGATTGGTGGACCTGTCACAGAAGTACCTCATTTATCACACCTCAGACCCTTGGCGATGGCGGTGCGGTCGCATGACTACAAATACCGACACTTGCCCTCCTCCTGACATTCCAGGGAGCCCACCAATTATTGCATACTGGCCTTTTTGCTGCTACACATATGCCTTTCCTAGAATTAATATAGAAATGGCGCACAGTGAACATCCTACAGACACCTGCCCTGTCAAATATGACATCCTCATCATTGGTGCCGGTTTTTCGGGAATATTTATGTTATATCACCTTCGCAAACTAGGCTACTCGTGCCGGATTTACGAAGCAGGGTCAGATCTGGGAGGGACATGGGCAAATCATATCTATCCAGGTGTGAGAGTCGACTCGGAAAGCTGGGTTTATCAGCTGTCCATGCCGGAGGTTTGGGAGGATTGGTCATGGAGCGAAGTTTACCCCTCCGGTCAGGAGCTGCGCCGGTACTTTGCACATGTCGACAAGAAGCTTCACATCAAGAAAGATGTGGACTTCCGGGCCAAGGTAGTGAAGGCACAATATATCCGAGAAAAGAGCTATTGGCGCACCGAGACCGAGGATGGTCGAATCACCCAATCCCAATTCCTCATTTCATGTACAGGATTTGCATCGAAGAGCTACACGCCTGCTTTTCCTGGGATGGAGGATTTCAAAGGAGAAATCTATCATTCCGAACACTGGCCAAAGGAGGACGTCAATATTCAGGGGAAGAAAGTGGCAGTGATAGGCACGGGCTCAGCAGGGATTCAGATCATTCAAGAGTGGGCAAAAGAAGCAGGCACCTTGACGGTTTTTCAGAGAACACCCAACCGGGCTTTGCCCATGCGACAGCGTCAACTTCCTCAAGAGCAGGAGGTCATCAAGTCCATGTATCCGCACGTATTTCGGGACCGCGGCAGAACCTTTGCGGGGCATGTAGCAACGCAAGTACCCAAACGGACATTTGACGTTTCACCCGAGGAGCGCGAGGCTTTATACGAATATGTATGGAAAAAGGGCGGTTTTCATGTCATTATTGGAAGCTATATTGATGTTTTGACCGACCTGCAAGCAAACCGTGCCCTGTACGACTTCTGGGCTCGAAAGACGCGTTCGAGACTCCATGACCCCAGGAAGCGGGAGCTCCTGGCACCATTGGATCCACCACATCCCATTGGAGCGAAACGATCGTCACTGGAATTGAATTACTACGAAGTATACAACCAGCTGAACGTCCACCTAGTCAATGTGCGCGAGGAGAAGATTGTTGAATTCCGGCCCCACGGTATTGTAACGAGCAGTGGAGCCTACCATGAGCTTGATGCAGTTGCATTGGCAACTGGATTCGATGGTCTGACGGGGAGTTTGACTAGTCTTGGCCTTCATAACACGGAGGGCAGATCTCTGAAGGAAGAATGGAGAGACGGCGCAAAATCATACCTGGGATTGACGCTTAGTGGATACCCCAACTTCTTCTACATGTGCGGAGTGCATGGACCGAGCGCGCTTAGCAATGTACCATCTACTATGGAAGTCCAGGGGCAAATTATCATCAACATTATCCAGAGAATGCGGGCTAATCGACTGGCATCTGTTGAGGCTACACCAGAAGCCGCAGACTCGTGGTCAAATGGGGCGGATGAAATTGCCAACGCAACATTATTTACTCAGGCGGACTCCTGGTACATGGGCGCCAATATCCCGGGGAAGAAGCGGCAGATGCTCAATTTTTGTGGTGGGATACCGGCATACGAACAGGCTTGTAAGGAGGCTTTGGAGACTTGGAAGGGGTTCCGGACTGTACAGATGGCGAATCTCTGAAATATAGGAAGACTCCATGCGGATTTCACGGCGAGAGGACATGAAATTAAACTATCCCCCACGAGTCATTTGCTTGATGTGTAGCGATAGCTGATCAGCCAATCGTAGGCCAGGCTGTCAACCTTTCTCTAGCCCCAGTAGCCTCGACAGGAAATACAGATAATACAGCCTTGCCTCAGTCGGCAGAGTCATGACTCTCCCGGGGAGCCTTCTACAGGAAGGGATCAGCAATAAGATGTAATTATCAAAGGCTCACAGAGGACCAATATTTTGACATTGACAGTCATGTATCCAATGGATTTGCGGGAAACGCATGGGTCCCTTTAATGTGTCTTGCGGGATGATCACCCGAGACATAGTGCCTCCACTAAGGACAGGCGGCCGCAGATGTCATGTTTTTGGTATCTACCGTGAAAGGAGGATATAGCATTATTGGAGAAAGTTAAAATTACGAGCCAACGAAACTATTTCCGCGGGGGATGCGCCTGACATGCTCTACTAGATAGAAAATCAGCTAACTAGCTACAGAAATGTGTCACTAGTCTGAGAACCAAAATTGCTTGCTTTTTGCATCCCAGGCTACTCCGTACTTTCTCCAATCAAAATAATGGCCTTGTCGAGGCGTGGCCTCAGGTTTCTGCAGGCCTCCCATGGCCGACCACGTGTAACGCAGCCGCGGATGCCATCCACAAGCATCTCTCACTTTCCCTCTTTACCTCAACAGGCAATCAATCACAAACTTTTCTTTGGTATTTACACACATTAGAATTCGTTCTTCATGTCCTGCACTGTATATCGAGAAATACGTTCGGTGTACCCCTGGGAATTAGTGCAGTAAATGGCCGTTGGTTTCGATTAGTTCACTTTCGATGGTATGCTATGTTCATACCGCAGCTAAGCATTTAATCCAGACCTTCTAAGTATCGGCGGAGCCGCTGTCACTGACCATTTGCTTCTTTATTATAGCTTTCGGTTGCATTGCAGTATCTTGGCGCTTCATTCTTGTATCAAGATGATTCAGCACTTACAGACTCGGATCACGAGAAAAGAGCCTTTTTAACAGATCTGGAAGACTTTGGTTGAAGATGCAAATCTGGAGATCGTGAGCAGGGATAAACATGGTTTTTTGACTCCTATTTGATGGTGGCTGGCTGAAGATAAGCAGCAAAAGCAATATGGAACTAGCAAGGGTCTAAGAGACACCCGCAGACATTGGAAGCCAACAGAACTTAACAGAAGCCGAATATACCCAACAGAATGCAACAACCTCTCTTCCAGATGTCCGGGGTGCACACCAAACTCGTCTCGAAGTATCTTCGATTCTCTCCAGCGCGTTCTGATGCCAAGCATCCCAAGAAAATGCCAGCCTCCGCAGCTGCACGTTTGAAGGCTAACCGCTGCACGCAGCATGGTGTGGATGACCTCTGGCCTACATGATGGCAATTATCCGATCTGCTGCAAGAACAGGCTGTCTCTGAATCTGGCTCAGAACAGGAAGTAGAACTGTAACCAATGATTTGTCTTTTTCATCAAGAGCAAGCAATAGCTAATGGGCGTGGAGTTTCTATACTGTGCTCACGCTTGTTTTGATGAGAACAGGTTTCTGTTCGCGCATCAGAAACAGTGATACGCAAACTAGGATTGCATTAGCACAGGGCTGCTAGCACTATTTATCGAAAGACCTGGATCGAGATCGTTCCGCCGCCCAGGATTCTGAGCATGGGTTATCATCGCACTTATGCAGTCACCCTGGGCTTAAGTTGCGGTGTGCACCAACGTAGATGCAGCATCATAACAAAAGTTCTGCATCCTTGATGGTAGCTGAAAAAACAGCTGAACTAGTCTTCAGGCCGCGTTCTCCGAATAGCATCACGCAGTAGCCGCTGCATTACGTTTCTCAGGAATCTTACCAGGGCTAGCTAGAAGCTTGGTATGACCACCATTAGACAAGCATAGTTCGAGCTGATTCGATAGCTGGTCATCTGCCTGCAGACAATACTATCCAAAAAGAGACCCCCCACCCTGTGCATGATTCACTAGCTGATCCTCATAACTTCCTATTCCAAATCATTGCGATCGAACTTTACTGCTAACACATTGCAACTCTAGCATACGGGTGATCCCGGGCGCGTCGATCTTATAAGTTTGATGGTCATGACATGGCTCGTGCTGACCCCACTCGGTTTCCCATAAGAGGCAATGCCTCACCCAAGGATTATCCTTTCATGCTCATCTGCAGGGTGATATAACGCATAAATTGTGCTGGAAGCATACTGACTAGACCACCAACTCTGCTACTAGTCGGTCAACCCCGCCCCTTTCTCGTTGCAGGATGTTCCATGACTCGGGACAAAAGGTGCACTAGTCGTCTCGGCATGGACTGCCACCTTTCAGTGGTACGCAATGATGCCTTTTAGTGTTCCTTCCTCGCAATGAGTAGACATATAATTTCCATCACCGTCTTATGAGAACGACACACGTGAGCTTCTCTGTTTTACCTACCCCCGCCTACGCGCAAGCTATGTCCAGCCCTTCGCCTTCAAGCGAACAACCCCAATCTCGCAACCGCCCTGGCTCCGCATGCACGGAATGCCGTCGCCGCAAGATGCGCTGTGATGGGAAACATCCTCAATGCAATAATTGTTCTAACGCGGGTATAATATGTGTTTTCAACCCCCAGCCTTCCCGTCGCGGGCCCAAAAAAGGACATTTAAAAAGCCTGCAGGTGCGTATCGGTGAGTAGCTTGGTCAATCCCAAGATATCAACAAGAACTCATATGAAGTAGCGAATCTCGAGAATACATTGTTTGGACGGACACAGGATCCTCTGTCCACGGAGATTTCCACAGACGGTGACGCTGCTGCGCAATCCGCAATGCATGGCTGGGAATCCCAGTTAAACATACCCCTTAATGAGTTCAACATTCCAGCGGGTGCACCAAAGTTGGGGACTGTACCGATTTCGGACTTATTACACGCCGAACTGTAGGTTTCATGTTTTCTTTTTCCGCGCTGTTGTGCTGAGCAAATAAGTGACCAGTTGTACTTTGATCGTGCACATATTTTCGTCCCCATTCTCAATGCACGGCGCTACCTTTCGTGGACCAGGGATGATAGTAAATCCATATCGAGAACATGCTTGCAATACGCCATGTGGACGATAACTACGTCCAAGTCCGCCCAACTGGAACATCTCTGCGAACCACTCTACCAGTCAGCCCGAGAGCTACTAGGATGTCTACAAGTAACAGCTGAAAATAGCAACATAGACCGGATAGAGCATGTTCAAGCATTACTGATACTTGCAGTTTACGAATTTACCCACCATACCTTTCAGCGTGGGTGGATGAGCGCCGGTCAGGGTATTCGACTTGTGCAGCTGATGAACTTGCACAAGATTGATCTCAACAAGGAGGGCAGAGCAGGACCCGACGAGGCGAGCGGGTTGGATGATCCCGTTTGCACAGAGGAAAGGCGTCGTGTCTTTTGGATAGCATACATACTAGACCGGCTTATCTCCTTAAGACATGAGAGCCCATTGACCTTTGATGAGCGAGTCGTATGTCCTATCGGTGGTTTCATGACTGGCCTATCCAGCTGACATATCGGACAGATAGCGACACGGTTGCCCGCCAGAGAGGAGGCCTTCCAGATGGGTCAATTAAACCAGATGACTGGATTTCTCTCGAAGGCTATTACTGAAGATGGGCCTCTCCCGAAAGCAGAACTTTCAGAAATGGTTATTCTAGCTACACTTTGCGGAAGAACAGTATTACACCGGCAGCAGGCAGCCGCTGAGCAAGCCGACTGCGGCATATCCAACAGCTTCTGGGAGCGACATCGCCGGCTAGACGCTATACTAGTCAAGAAGGGTCAGGTTATTTCGACACTCCAGCCGGTGGCAACCATGATGCCTGCAGAGCTGGCTTCTCTTATCCCAAATCTGATGATACAATCGGCTCTTCTATATCATTGTACGACGCTGCAGCTCCTAGCTGACGGAATTGAAAGCAGTGAGATGGTCCTGCAATGTCGACAACGGGCAATCCTGGCTGCGCAGGAGATTATCCGATTGACAGAGGCAGTGCTCCAGCTGAATTATTTCGAGGTGATTGGCCAGGTGCCTTGTGTTTGGCTACTTGAACTCACACATGATAGATTGCCCCATTCACACCGCTTCCCGTGCTTCTCTGCGCCAAAGTATTGATGATGTATCAAGACGCGGATCCCTCATGTGCGCTTCAGCTGCAGGAAGTTCTAGGTATGGTGCAGAATCTGGCAAATACTAACCATTTATGCCGGGAGTGGGCTATCCAACACCGTGATCTGTTCGGATCCGAATCCGACTTTGTCCATATTGAGGAGGAGAGCCATGGCTAGGTTTTCGTTGAGATGTACATACTCTTCACATGGGAAGCTGCTCAGCCTTATAAGCTACGCGGTTTGTTCAGTCGAGACTCGCTTATGTTGGCCTCGTGACATGGCACTACCATGACGAAAATAGCTCACGGTGAATGAGCAGCCAATGAAGGTAGTTGAGGCGTGAGACTGCCGGATCGCTAAAAGATCGGCTCAAAAATTGACTTCGATGGGGGTGGTCAGGCGGCTTCATCCGCCTATAATATACCTGGTATACCCCGGATCCGCGGTGCCGGTAGATGAAGCTGTGAGATTGCCGTGTGCGGCGGGGTGAAGCTTTAGCCGCGGAAATAAGACTCGGCAAGCAACCGCCTTATCAGATCAACTTTAATAAGGCTTGGTTGAATCGATCCACCTACTCTTGTGCTTCTCTTGGGTAGTCATGGCGAGCCAGAAGGTAGAGGTAGAGTTGTCTGATCGCTCACGGTCGGCGGCTGAGCAGGAGCAGGTGGCACCCTTGCCACAGAATACGAATCAGGCTTCCAGTAGCAGGAATGGGCCCGTTCCTGAGCCGGTTTATTCCCAATGGTAAGACGCTCACGAAAAACAAAAAGCCTGGTGGTTCTGACATGACAGGCACTATGCCACCGTTGTGGCAGCTGGGTTCATCGTGATGATCACGACCTGCGCTTTCGTGTTCTCGTTTGGAGTCTACCAATCCCTCTATGAAGAGATGGCCCGCGAACCGAACACTCCTTTTACCGGAAGCACGACTGCGCTCATCGACCTGATCGGCACATTGGCCATCGCGCTTATGTCGATGGCCGGCCCTTTTGCCATGTCCTGGGCGAAGCTCTTCTCCCCGCAAGCCGTGATCATCGCCGGCGGCTGGGTGTTTGGTATCGCCTACATCCTCGCCAGTTTCAGCAAGGCTCTATGGCACTTTGCTCTGACACAGGGGCTGCTGTTGGGCATTGGCACCTGTATGGCCTACGTTCCCACCATGGCGGTCGCTCCAACCTGGTTCACTAAACGTCGCGGCCTCGCCATGGGAATTATCATCTCCGGGACCGGAGTGGGGGGCATGATCTGGCCGCCTGCACTGCGGGCCATGATCTCCCACGTGGGCTTCCGCAACGCCCTCCGCATATCAGGCTGCATCTCGCTGACGACCGTCACCGCCGCGGGCAGCATCCTCCGCTGGGAGCCCAAATTCCACGAGCAAGTCAAACTGCAAGCGGCCGGAGCATCCCGCTCCTCCCGCGCCCGTCCCAAATGGATACAACTATTCTCCGTTCCCCTCGTCAACTGGCGTGTAGCCCGGTCCAAACGCTTCACTGCACAAGCCCTAGGATGTTTTCTCCAATCCGCCGGCTACTCAACGCCGCTCTTTTTCTACGCTGCATACGCCCAAGCGCTGGGATACAGCGCCACGACAGCAGCCAACTTCATCACGCTGAGCAACGCATCGAACTTTGTTTCCCGCATCATCATCGGCTACGCAGCCGACAAGCTCGGCAGGATCAATGCTCTCGCCGCCACGACGCTGCTCAGCACCGTCGCCGTATTCGCATTCTGGCTGCCGTCATCGCTGGTCTCGAGTGCCGCGGCGCATGGACTCTTCATCGTCTTCACGATCCTGTATGGCGCCTTTGCTAGCGCGTATATCTCGCTGTTCCCCGCATCGCTAGTGGAGCTCTTTGGCGTGCAGCATTTCACTAGCGTGAATGGGGCACTGTATCTGGTCCGGGGGGTCGGGGCGTTGCTTGGCACGCCGCTGACGGGGCTGTTGATTCCGCGAGGCTCGGCCTTGACGGAGTCGGGGATTTACGAGCGGGCTGCTATTACAGTAGGAGTGTTGTTGTTTGCCGCGACGGTGGCATGTTTCTGGGTACGAGCCGAAGTCCATGGGAAGTGGCGAGTGTAGCCTCCTCCACCAGATGACAAGATAATGTCATGAAAATTAAAATCGAGTAGGGCAACTAAATAAGTAACATTACAATCATAGAATCGAATCGAATCGAATCGAAATAGGAATACATATTCAACCCGAAACCCTCCATCATCTCCCCCTCACCCCAAACCATCATATCATATCCATAAAATCCATAATCAGATTTCTAAAATCCCCCCAAAACAGCACTGCACAAAACCATCCCCAACATCCCCAATCCAACCTTACTAACTCCAGCCTGCTTCATCGGCACAGCCGCCGACGACCCCGTCTCACTCGCCGCACTTCCCGTACTCGTCCCCGTCTTCGTCGACCCCGTCGCCTTGGTCCCCGTCACGCTCGCCGTCGCCGTCGCAGTCAAGTTTCCAGAGCAGAAGGGATCCTCGACGGCACCATTAGACTGAATGCAAGAGAGCAGCTCCTTCACATCCTGCCCCTGCGCCAGACAGTAGATTCCGCAGTCGTTGTCGTATTTGGTTGGGCTGGCGGGCGAACAGCACTTGTCCATGATTGCGCTGGCATTCTTGGTGTTGGGGATGGCGCACGCCGCGTCCTGAACGGGCAGCACGTACAGGTTGCCGGTTGAGGTGCAGCTCGCGGCGGAGGTGGTTGCGGTGGCGGTGGTGGTGGACATTTTTTTTTCTATCTTTGGATAATTTGGGTTTCTCTTGTGGAGGAGCGAGTGTGTAGAACGAGTGTAGGGTAGAACAACGAAACGAGTGTTGTTTTAAATGTAGTGGATGTAGGTAGGTAGGTAGGGATGAGAGACGGAGAAAAGGTGAGAGAAAGGAAAAAAAGAGAGAGAGGGAACAGAACAAAGGAGCCTAATGAATCAATAAATATCCCTCACCTCCGGATTTCCCCAACAGCTGGGTACGTAGTTAGGTACTACTAGTCAGTTAGAATAATCCCAAACAGGAGAGAGGCCTCTCAGCCAACTCTCTCAAGGTAGAGAAGATCCACCCAGACCCTTGGCAGACCCACCAGACCCTATATTTATCGGCGGCAATACACGGTAATACCAGCCGTGAACTGACTAGATACGGGGCCATCAGGCGATGCAGGTTTCAGGTGTGGCCAATCACAGTTGACAAAACGCGGGATCGTACCCCGGGATTACTAGATCGGGGAGGGAAGTCAATCCACGTAGGGGGTCCCAGCTGGCCATCGGGTGACGTGGTTCAGGTATTGGATTTATTTGGTTTTTTTTTTTTTTTGTGGGTTGGGGTTATTGGATTGTTGCTGCATTAATATGAATATTATTGCATTGGTTTTATTTCTTTGGTGTAATTCGAGATGTTTCACTCAGTACAGTACTTTTATTCGGTAAGTATCCGGTGTGTACTACGTATCTCTGTAGTGGGTATTGCATTGGCATGAATGTACTCCGTAGCCGATGATGAATTGATTTTTAGTGTTGAACTAAAAGCTAGGTATGGATCTATTCATCATCCATTCCATTCCATTCCATTCATTCCATCCATCTCCTTCTGACATTCACGTCATGTTTATGGTTAAATGCAAAGTACCCCGTACTGCATCTGCACTGCACTACACACATCACATCACCCCCCCACCGCGTACCTGCACCTCCCCATCCCCATCACCCCTTAAAACACTACCTCCCTCTTCACCCCCTCCAACACCTCCCTCGCCCGCCTCTCCCTCCTCACCAACTCCCCATTACAAACAACCGGCAACCCCAGCACCTCATTCGCATGACAATCCGAAAACACCGGGCCCTTGATCCCCCGTTGCCGACAGATCCGAATCGCATTCTCCAAGAGATTCCTCCCCACCCCGACTCCCCGAAGATGCTGCTCAACGGTCCACGCCCGGATGACGCCGACTGGCTGACAGGACCCGGAAGAAGTAGTACTAGTAGTAGATCCTGTTCCTGGAATTGAAGGGGTCTGGTACAGTTCCTCCCGCACCACCGCATCCCGCACATGGCCCCAGAGTTCTTCCTCCGTGCGGATGATTCGCAGGACGAGCGTGCCGATCACCCGGTTATGGTATTTCGTTACGAGCATTATGTCTTCCTCCTCCTCTTCTTCATTATCTTCTGCGCCGTGGTGATCTCTCTTCATGGGGGTCTTGTATCCCGCTCTAGATGTAGAAGGCGAAGACGATGCAGATGGAGGTGGTGACTGTGGTGGTGGTGGCTCTCGCCGCCGATGCTTATACCTTGTTCCTCCCTTCCATAACCACACCCATGTGCCCGTACGGCCTGCTTTCTCTAGGTACGGATGTGTCGTGTGCGCCGCGGCGAGGAGATACACCATGATGCAGGCGGGCCAGGTGATGAGCAGGAGGTAAGGCCAGTTATCTTCTCCGGTGGTGCTAAGCGCACGTGTGAAAAAGTAGGTTATGAAGAGGGAAAAGGTAAGGCAGGAGAGCACGGCCGGGTGGGTGAGCATGGAGCGGGCGGCGAGTTGGCGTTGCTGGGCAATGCTGTCTGCTATGAGGTGCAGAGAGGCGATTTGGTCGGGTTCGGTGGTGGTGATGGAGGTCGTTAGGGAGTTGTTGGTTGTAGACATGTTGGTTCTGCGTGTGTTTTGGGTTTGGTGGGGGTTGATATGGGGGGAGGTTGTTTTGGTGGTGGTATGTGAGGTGAGAGAAGTATACAAGTGGGATGTGGTAAGTGAATGGCCCATGAAAACATACTGACGCAGGTTCCAGAGTACTATCTACGCTGGTTTGATTGTGTTACTGATTCAGGGTATGTTGCAAATATTGGTCGCTTTTGAATTTGTAGGACTAGGCTAATATCTCATAGTTTACTTTTGTGGAATGCCTGTTGCGCATACTATCGTCCAAAAGCTAATATGTCTGGACATTGCTTTTGTGGACTTCTTCACGCCCCATTAAACTAGCTAATATCATTGTCAAGTACCTGCACGTATCTCAGTCACCGTTCCCTCGTTTCTTCGTCTCGTTTCGGTTCCCGCTCCTGCCGAGAGGGAGTGACCGTCGGTGTGGGTGTAGGTTCCTCCCCAGACAGATACTCCAGCGTCAGCCGCTTCGTCTCTGGGATGAGTAGCGAGGTTAAGCACCCGCACAGCATGAATAGCGCAAATATCTGCATTACATGATTAAGCCACGGCGTATCGGACGAGTTGACGCCTCCCTTGGCCCCCCGATGCGCTAGCGGCCCGAATACACACTGCGCAATGATGGCACCGACCTTTCCAGAGGCAGCACTGATACCATGTGAAGTTGACCGGTACCGCGTAGGGAAGCATTCCCCGGGCACAATGAACGTGGTGGCGTTAGGTCCAAAGTTGAAGAAGAACTGTGCCACTACATACAATGCCAATAATCCGTGGTCGGACTTCTTCAGCGGTTCATACGCGAATCCGATAACGATAAATATAATGGTCAATATCACAAATCCGGTCATCTGAATTGGCTTGCGGCCTAGCCGGTCGACTGTGCCAACCGTTACCCAATATCCTGGAATGGCTCCAGCACATATCAAGATCAGGTTGCCCACAGCGTTGCGGTAGAAATACTCGTACACAGTACCCCCGCCGTTCCAGCCGATGGCCGTCAAAATGATGGAATTGTTGAGTCCAAGTCCGTAGAACGCTACAAAGTCAGCTCGTTCCAGTCATAGTGGAGAATACTCACCAACGTCAAGGAAGAACCACGATCCCGCAGTGCCGAGCAATACCTTTCCATGCTTCCATGTGGTGAAATGCGAACAAAAGTCCGACCAGCTTGCTCTTGGGGTCCGTAGTCTGATATCGGCACTTTGAAGCACAGCTACCCGTTTGACCTCATCAGGATGACCTTCGTGTTTCCCCAGAATGTAGGCTTCGACGTCTTCATCAGCCTTGAGCAGATCTCTGGCAACATCAAAGGTGTAGCGCGGGGTTTCCGGGATGGTCAAACGATAATAAAGCGCGAGACAAGCCGGGACCGCCCCGAACCCAATGACGACCCGCCACATTTTATCCACGGCCAGCTGACAGACTCCAGGGAGCCTTTGAAACCTACAGTCACGATTAGCGCAACAATTGCGGCAGCGAACTGTCCAAAGCCCTGCATGGCAAAGACAGCTCCCATCATGGCTCCTCTATGCTTCGTATTCGCAAACCTAATCGGTTAGCGGAGTAGAATATAACGGGTAAGTACATACTCTGAAGTTATGATTGATGATAATGGATAGTCACCTCCAATTCCGATCCCCATGACTGTACGCCAGAAGACCAGAAGGCCTGTGATGGACACCGCAGGAGAATTTGAGGACAGACATTGTGCCAATGTAGCCAGTATGATGATGATCAGCTCGATCCCGTACATGCGCTTGCGACCGACAATATCTGCCAGCCAACCAAAGAACAACTGGCCGATGACGGTACCAGCTGAGGTGGAGACCTTGATGGCAGTGTCCGAGCTGTATGGCATCTTGCCAGGGCGGGTGGTAGCATGCTGCCAAAAGACAACACCTAGCATGCTTGAGCAGAGGTTTATGGCAAAAATATCGTACGAGTCGGTAAAGAAGCCCACCCCGGCTACAACGATCGCGCGAGCGTGGCGCCATCCAAAAGGAGCGTCATCGATACGTGCGAGGGCCAACCGACGACGTTCATTGGGATCCTCCACATGAGAAAGGTCAACATTGTAGTTGGGGAACGCGGCGGTGCCAGAGGCAGCCATATCAGTTCGAAGCAGATTTCACGACGAGAAGATTCCGCGAAGGGTATTATTTTGAGAGTCAGATGAAATGAAAGATCATGAATGGAACGGTATCCGGAGAGGGGAAGTCGTGCTTTTCATGTGCTTACCGATGTCATTTGCTTCAGTTCCAGACACTCGCGGAAGCTTCCGTCCCTGTGCACTCCTTTGGACCTGCCACCTCTAGAAAGCCAACAGTGTCTGAAGTGACTACAAGATTCGGACAGGCCGACTGGGGAGCGGATGGATACCAGTCAGCAGGGCACGTGGGGTACTGCAACCTGCCTGACTTGGAAGTATCCATGGGTCAATTCTTTCGGACGGTCTGGAGTTCCTGTAGCTGAAGGTCAACTTTATTCCAGCGCGGAGATTATCTGGAGGCCCCCTCAAGCCCTTGTAAACTGATATCATAAGACATCATCTGGCAGTGTTTCGGTATGGAGGTACTCTGGATCTGAAGCCACGTTTTGTTTAGGATACGAAGGCATGTGAAGCAACAAAGATGGCTAGTGGCGGATCCTGTTTAGCTTTGTGGGTTGCCATAGTATATCCCAGCAGTTCGCTGGTAGTAGGAAAGGACACGGTTTTGTTGAGAAAGACAGACAGCGAAGAAAACTGGGTAACACGTGACAGGTGAAGAGAGAACATTTGACTAGACGCTACAGTACGACGCGTAAACTACACTGAAGTTCAATGACATCTGTTCAAGCTCTTTTGAAGTACGACTTTCTGTCTCCGGAGTTAGATTCCCCAAACCCCCAAAGGATCCGCGCCCAATGATTCCCGAGACTGTTGCAGCTTCTTCACCCGTTTAACTATAGTCCCAACAGATATAGGTCCCACCAACGTACATATCGAAATTGCCCAAATAACCACCAAATATATCTCCGAAATCTCGCCATTGGACCCGCTGGAAAACATCCCCTGACTCTCTGCGAGGGAAGCAATGAGGTACCCGACTTCACCTCGAGCAACCATTGCTAGCCCGAGGATAAACGGAGGATAGAGCGATTTCGGTTTGGGAGGGAGAGACATGGTTCTGCTGGGACTTGCTGACGGGTTTTGAGGTTCTGTTCCAGACACAGGCTCATTGTGGTTGGGACTGGGAGAATTTCTCCTGTTCTGGTCCAGATTAGTAGCATTTGTATTCTGATCGGACTGTTCTGTACGAACTGCAGATTGGATTCTAGGACGGGGACCCTGCTTCTTTGACTGCTTCTTTCTCTTGTCCTCGGTTTTACGAGAGGCACACGAGACAAGAGCCCAAGATAATGGTCTCCCAAGGATGGAGATCAGAGTAGTTGCTGAAGGTAGTGAGAAACGAACGAGCCATAGACCGGTGACCATCTTCCCAATCATCATGAGAATGGCGTAAATGACACCGCGCCATACAACATCTCCGCGGAACATCTTAGTGATAGGTATAGCAAAGCCGATGGAGGCCTGGGCATGTTAGAGGAAAGCCATGCAACTAGGTAGATGACTTACGAAGAACAATGGGAGCAGGATGCGATTCACAGGCTCCCGGTAGTACTTCTCATATACTTCGATACCGGTCGGTACCTTTATATGTGGTCTGCACGGATGTGTCTGTCGTGTGTCTGGAGTACTGTTGTTTGAAAGATCCTGAGATGTGGACTGTTCAGAAGTAGTCTGCTCCCCTAGCACCCCCGACTCTGACACTGGCATATTATGAGCCTTATTAGTATTTATACCGCATATATCAGCAGCCAATCCATCAAACCAAGAAGTGATCACTCCCGCAAGATACGCTGCGAATAAGCTGGAGGTTCCTGCATAGGTAGCACCAGCCACGAGCCCTACCAGCACAGACGTCTGCGCAAGGAAAGCAAATTGCATGGTGCCCATAAATTGTGGCAGATTACCCCTCATATTGAGAGCCCTTTTCAGGATTGGCTTGAAGCAGAATGCGCACAGGATAAAGACACCTAATGCAAAGCCGATGGAGACAAACAAGGGTCGAATCACAGTGACGACGTTGAACGACGACGTACCACCACCGAGATTTGAGATTATTTGGACCATTACAAGACCCACAACATCGTCTAACATGGCAGCACTTGTAGTGACAGTACCAAGGCGTGTAGGGATTAGATTAGTAGTTGATAGAATGGTAAAAGTGGTGCCAAGACTGGTTGCGCTGAGAGACGCGCCTGCAGCGAAAGCCTGAAGAGGACTCGCGGAAACCAGCTTCATTAAGATGAACGACAAGGCCATAGGGACCCCAATTCCAGTGAGTGCAACGCATAGCGAGATAAGGAGGTTGGCTCTCATCGATTTGATTGACGTTGAGAGGCCACCTATATAGGTGAGTTATGGATCGTTTCGCTAGGCCGTATTACCCACCTTCATACACCAGCATAATAAGGCCAATATAGCCCAGTTGCTGGATTACTCTTTCAGTCTCCGTATCCAGCCATTTTGCCCCCGGGGTTCCCCAGAGAATACCAATGAAAAGTTGACCGATCAGTCCACAGTACAGTAGTTTATCAAGACAGACATTGATGAGGTTCAACACCACCAGTAATCCGCCCTGATTGAGAAGAGTGGAGATACTTGGTTCATGATACGCAAAAGCTGCGTCCGACCCACTGCTAGCCATGGTGACCCCAGGGAGCATAAGAAGTCATGGATGTTGTTTCATTTTCGGTTGCCGATGGTTGCAGATCGTGGTGGCCTTGATTACTAATTCAGGGTCTCCCGATCGCTTGGCTTGAACATTCAGAAATGCTCTGATAAGGGATGATTAAAATCACTGACTATGAGTAGTAAAGCAGTCGGAGATCACTGCCAAGATTTGGCATACAGTCATACTCGTATTGCATGCATAATGAACACCTAGACTTGCACTGATAAAGGAACCTGATACCTAATGCAGAGAGCAAGGCTTCCCGTTCGCTCAGCTGCACTTCAGGCACATAATTTCCTTTTGGAATATTGTATGATTCGAATAATATCTTCATAATGCGTCAGGTGGTTGGTCAACATGGGTATTTACTGCCAGTTGGCGCAACGTAGGCCCATAGCCCGAACTCATATACTGCACTCACCCACCTGCTGGGAAGCTTAAGGTCCCAGCTCCTGCTCTGATCCACCGATAAAACTGTGCTCGGGATGTTCCTGTTTCTCCGTACCTGCTAGCTGGATATCTAATGAGTAAGTTCTTTCATGTGTTTGTGCCTGAAACCTTTAGGGGCGGCTCGATAGGCGGGCTTGCCTGAAATGCATCGAAGTGCATCCAGCACATGCACGCAACCTCGAAGGCGTTGATAGCAGGAATAAAGAAAACCATCAAAATAAGGACATCCCATCTACTATCCAAATATTGTGTAATTAAGTGACAGCAGTAATTGACGATCACGCTTATCAGCCAGGAAACCTACAGTTCCAGCGATGCACCAAGCAGCTGTCTGGAAAACAACCTCGGCACACAACAATGCAGGCATAACATTGAAGCATAAACCCAATTCAACCTTAACAATCAAGAATAGTGGTTAAGAAGAGCCCGATGAAGTAGAGTAAAAATAGAATCCCGGGAGCGTTTCATACTAGCCGCAAGATCGACACCGGCGTCGCATCAAATTATGGCTGGAACCTCGGAAGAGAACCGACCACCCCATCTTGCTCCAACGGAGGTTACAGATAGAAAGCAAGATAAGAACACCCGTTCACGCTTCTTTTTCAGTCCCTCTCGCAAGTATTACTCTAGATGTCTAGTTAATCTGTAAATGAATGCATCTCCGAACTTCAAAGACAAGTCAAGCCAAGTCTGGTTTAATTATCAGTAGGGTACCTCGGAACCTCAAAATTGAGTCGAACGGTTCGAATCCAGCTCCTCCGTAGATCACCCGATCACCTCCTTTCACCACAGTATAGGACTCTTCCCCGATCACGTTCCCGACATTGAGATCGAGAGATAAGCCGATCCTTTCCGTATGTTGTACCATAAGCTCCAGTCCGCGGTATCAGATCTCAGACGCACACCCCTGACCCCTTCTACATACTATACCGTGAACTGAATTCTCACGCCTTCAAGCGAGGAGGGGAAAGGTATAAAGAAACCTTCAATTCCTCTCCAGATCTTTTTTTTTTTCCCATCCAGCATCTCAAACAAGCAAGCAATCCTTCCTTCATCCATCCATCCATCCATCTTTCATTCGTTTTATCTAACATTACCTCGTTAGGGTACGTACTTCTTTCTCTTCCCCTCCCTACCTGATTCCAAATTTGCAATGTCAATCTAACGAAACCCTCACAGAAACTTAATATATCCATCAAAATGCAGTTCACTCTCATCACCGCCTTCGCCACTGCCTTCCTGGCTTCTTTCGTGGCCGCCAACCCTGCTCCCGCCCCGGCTCCCTTCGAGATCGGCATCGGTGCTAACGCTGCCGCTAACGCTGCTGCTGAGGTCGCTGCCAATGCTGGCCTGGGTGCTGGTGCTGGTATCCACTTCAAGGCTTAAGTGGTTTAATTAGAGTGAGTGGTATCCCATGAAGATTTGTGTGGGCGTGCTGAAAGCAAAGGCTAATAGTTGGTGTGATTAGCTACAGGGACAGGGTTCTCTGGAGACCATGTTGCTACCTTAGTACCGGCTGTGCTGGTATATCTGGATGGATGGGATAAGGTTGGATTTACTCATTTTCTGTACTTAGTCGGTGTGGATAATATGATAATGTTTTGTTGATCCCTTTTTCTGTATTGTTGGGGAGTAATAGCTAGGAGTTGGTTGGGAAGGTGAAGATAAGTTGAGTTGTGGATCTGAAAATTAGCCTCAGAAACGTGTGGATTAGTTTAATAGTATTAGTGTCTGCTCTCATTTGGCTTAAAAAAATCATTCTGTATATTACCAACTATTCCGACTAGTCACACCCAAAACATTATGAATGGACGGTAATTCATACATATCCAACATCTGTCCAGCTCAGCCCTTCCTGGCAAGCCCCAAGCCTACCGGGTGATCACGCCCACATGGCTTTGAACTTCTCGTTGAAATCATCTCGAAGCATTTTGAACGCTTTCAAGACCTGCAAAAACCCCTTCTCCTCGATCTGACCTGGTGAAGCGGAGGAAGTAAGCTTGCTAGTAGCCTTTGAACCACCCCCTCTCTCAGGGATATTGTTCTCATTTCCCCTCCCTTCATCGTCGCTCTGCTCATCTTCCCAGCTGTCAGCTACCTTTGCTTTCTTTGAATTGGCGGATACCGAAGTCAGCGGAGGCTTGGTTGTGGCTTGCACCGGAGCCTGGGCTAAATGGGCTGATTTCACGGCTGTCCCTGGCTGGGGCTCCTTTGCATCATAAGCATTATCGTCCAAGTCAATCTCGTGCACATCACCACTGCCGGCCACATCCAACAAGTCTACATCAATGTTTGGGGACAGCTTGAGATAGTTCTCAAAATCAGTCACAATGGTGGCAAGGACCAGGGAGAAGTCGTTCAAGAGAAACCAAATATCACCCTTGCGGATCATGTTCCATTTTTCCAGGGCTTTCACATTGCCGTGCTTGAAGAAGTCGTACAGGTACGCATTGAGTGGAAGTTGGCCCTCCTCTGGGTAGAGCCCCACGTACGGCACCACTGCTTGTTCTAGCCAGACACCGCTGCGGACCTTTTGACAGAGGTCGGGTATGCTACTCCAGTTATCACCATGACCCGACAGTGAGACAAATGATGATGTTACTTGGGTAGGAGGAGTAATGGGCAGTGAGTGGCTGATTTCTTCCGGAGATTTGTCGCCTCCGCACTTTATTCCTGTCAGTGGGAGGAAACAGTCTGGATCTTTGATATGCTGCTCAACGAAGGTGGTAACATAAGCCGTGTAAATATCCTGGGTCTGCTCGTTATGACTGCGCAAAATCCTAGCCGCCTTTTTCGGAAGACTTGGAAGAACCACAACAGATGGGGATTTCTTTTCTGAGGTTCGAAAGTTCTCAAGGGTAACTGGAGGTAGATGCCGGCGACCGAATAAATGTGACATCACAAGCATCAATGTAAGAACCGTTTCTTTGGGGTTCCTGAAAATGTTCTTGCACAGTCGGTGAAAATATCCACCATTGAGGAGCGCATGGAATGCAAAGCTGGAATTCTCGGTGTAGTACAAATGCGATATGGTGCCCGAAAAATTGAGGGGAAGACCATTAGCATCGAGGAGCTGATTGCGACGGAGGTATTCGACCGAGAACCGCAGATGATGGAGAACAGTATGTTTGGCCTCCGGCCCCCCAAGATAGATCCGTGGGCATGATAGGATCGAGTTGATGGCTTTGACGGCGAACTTAGATCGATTAGACTTCTGAAGCAGGATAAAGAGTCGTAGTACTAGGCTTGTAGACAACGGAAAATGGCCGTTCAGGCTTGGAAGCTTTGAGCTGAGTAGACGGTAAATTTTGGAATCCGGAATACACTGAAAGACCACGTTGCCTAGGAAGTCGAAGCCCCGACGTCCAGCTCGACCAGCTGCTTGCCGAAATCCAAGGGCTGTCAAGAAGACAGAATCACCTGCAAAGACCACGGTTTTGCATGGCATATTGATACCGAGGGCCAATGTACCTGTAGCAATGACAACGCGTAGATAGCCCTTGCGGAAGAGTATCTCGCAGACTTGACGGTATTTGCGATTCATACCGGCGTGATGTACACCGATCCCACGCTTCAAAGCATCAATCAACCAGGAAGGCACCTGTCGCTGCTGGAGCGCTTGAGCATATTCCTCAAAGTCAGAATCGGCAAGCTTCTTCTCGTCAGCTAGGGAAAACCTCGGGATTGGTTTTTCTGGATCAAACGATTCATGCCAACTCGATTCCGCGGACGCAGTATCACGCATCTTATCTGCTTTGGACATGTTTCCATCGTTGTCTCCAACTCGGCTCTTCACCTTGCTGGGCTTTTTATGTTTGGCACGTTTTTCTTCCAATTTCTTCCATTCTTTCCACTCACTGATCTTGTTCGCCCAGCTTGAACTCGAGGCCTTCCATCGGTCCTCCGACTGTTCCAGTTCGTCAACAATCTGCTGACATATTTCCTCACACTTACTTCGATCATAATTGAAGAAAATAGCTGGAAGGGCGCCTTGGTCATGGAGAGAACAAATCAAGGGTAGTGTTGTATCGAGGAGGTTATTCTTCACTGGGCGGGGTTTATCTGACTGGCCGCGTTCGCCAGATGATACCTGGACATCACGACTCTTCTCTAAATGACTCCCCTGTGAAAGTTCCTTCAGGACAGAATCGAATGGAGAGTCTGAATTAATCATCCAATGTTTCAGGACCAGCTTCAGCTTGGCCTCCCACTCCAGAACGTTAGCTTTGGCAATGACACCTGGCAGCGCGTTGGACGGATTCAATGCGTTATCAAGCGGATAGTCTGCTGTTTTGTACTTGTCCATGGCCTTCCAAAGTGTCCAGCAATCACGCGGTTCCAGGGCTAGATCGTCCGGGATTCCCCGAGATCGATTGGTCAGGCTTGTCACAGGGTGTATGAACGACATGTTTGGACAAGCATCCAGGCCGAGTGCAGCTAGATGAGTGGCATCCGATAGCCCTTTGAAGATGAAAGATGTCGGAGGTCTGTACTCAAATTTTCTTAAATCCGACCATCGCGTTTTGTGCTCAATCATTTTCAAGTCATGGCCGTTTGCATTTTGAGTCAACCTCAGCCAGTCATTGAATTCTTCAGGATTGCCTACCGTTGCAGAAAGTGCGATGATAGGGCAAGGTGCAAGAAGAAGCAACTGCTCCCATACCACTCCATCGTCTGACTGACCAATGCAGTGGATTTCATCGAAAATGATACGTTGAATGCGAGACGCCCACGACTTCGCGTTTGACGGCGCAAGAAGCATAATCTGAAGGATGTGTGGAACTGTGATCAAGATCTGACAGCTAGTTGGGTTGTTGATGCGGTAATCACGTGTATGAATAGCCCAAACAGACTTTCCAGCGTGTTTGTAATTCTTACTGAATCTTGCTTGGACTTCGGCAGCGATCTGGTTTACGAGTGCTTTAGTCGGGGCAACGTACACCAAGACCCCGTCGTCACTGCTTTCGAGGACCTGTTTCATAGCATAGAATCTATTCTAAAGTCAGGACTTGGAGGCACACATTGTTATAGGCTCTCATATGGCACTTACGATATGAAAGTCTTTCCCGCACTAGTCGGAGCGACAACAAAAAGACTCGCTTTAGCGTCGATTTGGTCCAAGATCTCTCTTTGCCACCGATCAGGTTCAAAATCATGAACTCGATGATCTGGTGCCGATTCCATATTTCTATCAAAATATGGCCCCGCATGAACAAGCTGAAACTCAACTGGTGACAAGCCCGTTTGCAAGTTGGCGTGCCGTGAAGCTAGTGGTGTGGATGCGGATGTAGCTTTTCCTGAAACGTCACAAGGGATGTCAATGTAGGGAAGATTGAGTGCTCTAATAACGTCTTCTATAAGGCATCGAATGTCGAACGTAATGACTTGCTTCGCCTTTGAGAGCCTGAGAATCATAAACCATACGAGTGCCACTATCGCCATAGGTCTGTCCTTTTCTGTTTCACACTTTTGCTTCCAAATCTGTGCCAGGGTCATTATGAGGTAGGCAAGTATCTCTGGCTCTATCAGACAATCTCCCTTTCGCTTCAAGCTGTGGAGGTACTCATAAGCAGCTTGGTACCTCTGGACCAAATTATCAGAATGCTCGATATCATGGCGTTTATTCTTCCAAGCCTCCAATTGCCTCTCAAAGTTGTTATTGCGCTGTTCCTGGAAATGAACTTCTGCTTTGGCTTTAACCGATGCGGATACGCTAATCTTTGATTTTTTAGCCTGTTTTGAGCCATTTTTCGCGGATTGAGAGGCTCTGTCTCTCTCCATAGCTCCAGAAGCCGGACCTTTTCCTGGCAAGGCCTTGAGATCTGCTTTAGCCTTTAGGAATATAGACTCTGGTTTTGCATCTGTAAGACTGGCAGCATATTGCTCAGTCTCAGCCATGAACATCTGATTACGGCGAAGAAGCCACTTTGAAGGAGGAACTGTATTCCGTTGATCTAGCGGCCTGCGATGATTATGCCAGTGGGTGATTTCCTCAAAGATTCGCGACACCGCAAGATCCTTCCCAGCAACGGATTCGTCAATAGCAAGTGATATCGGCTTGAGATGGCGATCAAAGTCCGGGTTGTTGAAAGGGAGCACGGCAGTGGTCTTTATCCGGCTATTGACTGGGCGATTGCCCGAATGATTAGTTTCTTCGTTTCTGCTTGCTTTGCTACCGCTAGCCTTGTTGCACACTTTAGAGATAGCAAGTTCAGCACCACATAGAGCTTTCACTAGTGAGGTAAGCACCGAAAACTTTTCCATGATTGACTGGCTGAAGAAACCTTCAAGGTCAGACGAGTAAGCCATTTGCAACGTCTCAAGAAATAACCTTCCATCAATCAGGTCTGCCACATCACAGCTCATAGGCCTAGCACTCATAGCCTCATGCCACAACTGTGATGTGATGATACTCCAAGATACTTCAGCATATTTCACCAGCAACGACTCGCCAGGGCGACAGTATTTGGGGCCATACACGCGGTTTCCAAGCTTGCACTCACTTAGAACAATAGTGTGGAGTAACAAGGCACGCAACCCCAACATCTCATTTTCTTCAAGGGGGCCAGAGTTTAGCAGGGCACTTGCTGTTAGGGTTGTGACCCACTCTCGTTGAGTGAGAGCGTGGGAGCCTGTGGTGTTTAAGATACCCAAAAAATTGCGCAGCGTAAGCTCCACTGAGGAACTTGCAGGACAACGTTTTGAATCACTGGTGCCAGCCTCGACGTGACCATGTACCATACTGATTCCAGAATCCACCTCTTCTGTATCGGAGTCAGATGATTCAGTGTCCTCTTCTATGTCCGGATCTTCCGAATCCACGCCGAAAAGATTCCGTGCCCGTTCTGCGGAGCCCTCTAGAACCATCGTGAACACCTATCTGAGGTCAGAATTGAGCTAAGCTAGGGGGGCACTCTGTGCTCACTTTGGTGTCACGGCATTCTAAACTGTTCAGCAATGAGATATTGAATCCATGGGCAACAAACCAGTGTATCATGGATCTGAGCGTAACTCGATTCGGCCAAAACGAGGTAAGAGCATTATCGAACGTTTCATCACTGTCAGTGTCTGAGGTACCATCCGAGAGCACTTTCAGATCCTCAGACTCTTCTAAAGATTCATGCAGTGCTCTATCATGTCCGCTATGGCTCGAAAATGCGCCATCGTGGCACATGATGAAATAGACCCCCTCCAACGTAAGATATTCCTCAAACTCGGGGCAATTGTATGTATCAAAGCATCTCACTTGTATGGATGGGAATACTTTAGGAGCATTCTGTTGAAGATGCTGTAGAATAGCTTCACGAGCTAGACGGTACTTTGGCAACGATGATTGGTGAACGTGTGGTGAAATAGATGCCGCCGAATTTTCCGAGAAGAAGACAATGTGAAAATTGCAGTTTCGTCGTCGGAGCTGTTCTAGAGATCGCTCCACGATATACGTGGCATGAAGCAACTGAAAACCATTGGCAAATTCCAGCTGGTCGTCAGCGAAGCAGTGCAAGAGAAGTGAGTCTCCTTCGATGATAAAGAGTTCGCTGCCTGCATAGTCGCCAACAAGGTCGACGGTACGGGAGTACAGACCATTGTACCTAACGATGATGGATTGTCAGACCTATCTTTGACCTAGTCCGACCATAGCTAGCCTGGGATGGCCTTAATGAACTACTCACCAAAATAGGACTTTCTGTGGATCTGCCATCGCGATGGTGTAACTTGAACTTGTGCAGAAGTGGAACAGAAGGGCAAGATCGCTGATAGGTGACGAGGGGGAATGAGGAAATCAGAAGGGGAGATGGACGCGTGTCTGTAGTTGCGGGGCACAGGATGGCAACCAATATATAGTATTCACTCACTGCCAGACCATTCGCTGCAAGATTATGCAAGGCTGTAGGCACCTTTCGAGCGAGCCTTGCGCTGGAATAATGATTACCCCTGCTAGTTGTTTGAGTCTAGCACTACCAGGCGGGGTTTTGACATCCATGCACGAATCCTGGTCGCAGCACCGCGCCAAACCGATAGCGATGGGAGAATGATGCGAAGTTACTCGGTGGCTATCAAAAGGCCTCATTACATGGCATCGAATCGAACCTCTGTTGTTCGGGAAATCGAAGATCAGATAGTGGAGCACAGACAAACACAGGCCAAGTACTATGAAATGCCTTCTACCCTATTATCTTGTCTTTGAAGCGTAGTAATCAAGACAGCCATCGTAGAACCAAAAGTCCAGCGGCAATCCGTCACATGTTAAGTAACGCTCACCTTCTGCTCCATTCATTGGTTACAACTAAGCCTAGACTGTTAGTTGCTAAAATGCTTTCTATGAGGTTTTTTTCTCTCCAGTGGTCAACATTACCGCAAGATGAAGTATCCGATGTACAATACCATCGCCCTGAGAGGGGGTTGTTGATATCATAATAACTAAGAATCGAGCAAAGAGACCAAAAGATATCCTGAATATACTCTTCCTACACATCATCTAAGATGACCCGTTTTATTGAGCTGGTACTTGATCATTTCATGGACTTATTGCATCATGTTGCTAGTACAATAGTACTACTATGGTCATGTGAATAGTAGACGGAAGTTTCAATTGATTTGCAGGTGAGGGACAATGCTAGTTACCGTTATTACTTATACTATATATATTTTCCTCGGGGAGGTTCATTCTGACAGGAGTCAAATTACGGCAGAACTACCGAGAATAGTAGCAGATTCAAAACATGATGTTCGTACCAGACCAAGATCATGTGGAATTATGTGAAAACTTCCATTCTCTAAAGTGAGCATCAAAGACACCTGAGAACATTTGTGCTCGATATAGACTAAAGTAAGAGAAAAACTTTCAACAACAAGCGTTAATGGTGTAGCGGTAACATTCAACCCTTCCACTCCTCTTGTGAGGTTGAGCTCTGGGTTCGACTCCCAGTTAACGCACAAACATGATTTCTTTTTTCCTAATTTCACCAGCATATCTACTCTAATTTTGCCGGTCATACATGGGTATCACCTCGACAGTTGTCAAGTATGAAAGAATAGCACTCACCATCCCATGTACAGCTCAATTTGGCCCTCTGAATAAAGTACAGTAACAGCCTGCCAAAACCATTTGACTCAGGTACATGTCCGACCGAGTGACCGCCTCCCATGTTACTGATCTAGCCTAGCGCCCCACCCTTATAGAGCCGCACGTGATCTCAAAAATGGCCGCCCCTCAAGTCTCCAGAAATAATTATTGCACTCTACCAACACCCCTCTCGATATCGCATATCTTTTATTGCTTGCAAAGAGCACAGTCTCACACTATGGCGCGCGTCCGCCTCGCCCCGCTCTCCTCGCTCACTCAAACCCGCTACGTCCTGCACCTCTCCGACGGAAAACGCCTCGTCCTCTTCCGCCTCCCCACTATCGAGACGCCGAAAACCAAAGACAAACCCCGAGCGCGCAATGACGCCAACGGCTGGTCCTACTACGCCATGGAAGCGGAATGTCCGCATGCAGGCGGCCCGATGAAAGATTCCTCCATTGACATCGAAGATTCAGCATACATTGTGTCTTGTCCATGGCATGCGTATGATTTCAACGTCGAGACGGGAGAGTCGAGTGTGGGGATTAAGGCGTGCACGTTCCCTGTTGATGTGAGCGATGAGGATATGGTGGTTGTGGAATATACCTCTGAGAAATTGGGAGAGGGAGTGGAGTTGGCGAAGTTGGAGGCTGTGAGTGAGCAGATGAAGTTGAAGAAGAGTGTCAATGGTGTGAATGGTACGACAACGACAAATGGAGCGGACGATAAGGCTGAAACTGCGCCGATTCGGTATCTTGATGATAATGCAACGGTGTGTGAATGGTGCGCGCACATTCTGAACACCTCGAACCCGGAACATAAGATCGAGTTGACGGCGCATTTGTTCAAATTGTTCACGGAACGGGAGGGAACAGATAAGCCTATGGTTATTGGGGATAGGACCAATGTTGACCTTCCAGATTTACCGCCTAGGGATGGCGTGAAGGATGTAAATCGGCAGGCAGTTCCGAAGCCGGGCAGAGGTGGTACGCAAAAGAGCAGGATTAATATGTTGCATGCGCTGGCAAACATTGAACAATGGGCGATCGATCTGGCGGTCGATATCTGTGTGCGGTTCGCGAAGTTTCAGACGAACTCGGCTGATGCGCTGGGTCTTCCTCGGGCGTTCTTCCACGACTGGTTGAAGGTCGCTAACGACGAGGCGAAGCATTTCTCTCTCCTTCGGACCAGGCTGGAGGAGCTTGGTTCGTATTTCGGTGCCCTTCCGGTCCACCATGGACTGTGGGACTCTGCGACCGTGACAGCCCATGATCTGCGCGCTCGGATCAGCATTATTGCGTTGGTGCATGAGGCGCGCGGTTTGGATGTGAATCCAGTGACGATCGATAAGTTCCGCAAGGCTGGAGATGGGGATAGTGTTGACACGCTGGAGATTATCCACAATGATGAGATCACCCATGTCACGACAGGTCATCGCTGGTTGACCTGGATTTGTGCCCAGGAGGAGACGGACCCTGTGCAGGTGTTCCGGGGTAATGTGCAGAAGTATTTCCGTGGGCCGTTGAGGGAGCCGTTCAATACAGAGGCTAGACTGCAGGCTGGTCTGGATAAGAGATACTACGAGGATCTCTCGGGGTACGAGGGAATTCAGCCTGCTTGATCGCTCCCTGACTCGCAGTTCAATAATGGAAAGCAGTTCAGTCGCTTGATCCTCTGGAGTCAACTACTCCTCCAGCAAAGATGGCGAACTGCACAGAGACCTTGTCAACCCATGCGCTTGCTAGGACCCCTCCGCTGCCGGTGACCTGAGAATCATAGATGGTTGTCTGCCTCAGTCATACCGTTGAATGAATGTTGCAGACACAATCAATGACAGGCATAGCACTTCGTCACTCTGAGAGATCTTGACAAGAACTGCACCTACCAGAGGGCCAAAGCACTGTGACTTGGCAAGTAGTGTGATACTCAGGAGTGTTGTGCTAACCGCACCCATAGCGAAGGCGCATGGTCCCAGGTACATAACTGTGGGACTCGTGCGTGGTCAATGGGACATCAGTTGTGTTCGCAGATGACAATATTTCCAAAAACATGCTCTAGAACTAGAAAAGTTACGAAAGATACCCCACATAGACTAGACCAAAAGTTTCAAAAAATTTAACAATTATTCCAAATGAATTCCTATACGTCTATCGTAACAGTCAAAGCTCGTAAGCTCATTAGATCGTCAACGTCCCCGTCAACTGGGTATCAAGCACACTCTTCCCCACATAAACCGAATAATCACCCTTCTGCAATCCCCAAGCTTGGTTCACCACATCCCATGAACTGAGGTCCCGTCTCGTCAAATCAAACTGGACCTTCGTGTGTTTTCCCGGCTGGATAAGCTTCTTCTCGAAGCCACGGAGGACCTTCGCTGGACCACCAGGAATGCCCAGATAGAGCTGAGCGACTTCCGCCGCAGCGACAGAGCCAGTGTTCGAGACCGAGCAGGTAACCGTAGCCACTACATCCCAGAGGGCGGAAATACCGCCTTCCTCGATGGTAGAGTTGGGAGGTAGGTAGTCAGTGTTCACGCCGCTGTGGACGGAGATCTTGAGACCGGAGTAATCGAACGTGGAGTAGGTGAGACCATAGCCGAATTCGTAACGGGGAGTGATGTTCTTCTGCTCAAAGGCCTTGTAATCGATATAGACACCCTCAGTGAAGTTGTCTTGTGGGTAATACAGATCCATGGTTCCGGATGGGACGACCGGGTTCAGGAGGGCACCGTAGTCCGAGGCGTTCTTGGCGACGGTGTAGGGAAGACGGCCAGAGGGGGATTGTTTGCCGTACATGATCTCGACGAGGGCGCGACCACTGTCTTGACCGGGGAGATGGCCGTAGATGACGGCAGTGATGTTGGGGTTCTCGACCCAACGGTCGACGAGACGGATACCGGCGTTGTGGATGATCACCATGGTGTTGTTGCATTGGGAGGCGACATTCTCGACCAGAGTGTCAGAGTAGGGGTCGGCCACGTACGGACGGTCCCAACCTTCAGCTGCGGCTTCGTTGATGAAGACGAGACATGCGTCACTAGCGGGGTTCACGACTGGAGACTGAGAGGCAAAGTCCCAGGCGAGGAAGGTGTTGTCTTCGTAGGCTTGGCGTTGGAAGGCATCGAATGGCGCGTCGATGTAGGATGGAGTGCTGGAGCCGGAGCCACCCCCGGAGATCATGGTACCATTCAAGGCCACACCAGGGCCATTTTCGGAGGGGTTGGTGCTAGAAAGGAACAAGTATTTGAGGTGAGAGGGGTCCACGGCGGTGCCATTGGGGTAAGTTAGAGCGTTGTCGAGGCCCATGGTCCAGAGACTCCAGGACAGGTCATCCATGGTATTGCGTTGCGCGGCGATGGCATCATAACCGAAAAGTGACAGGATCTTGGGCTCCTTCAAAGGCAAGGCGTTGCCTGTGTTTTTGACAAGGACGTGGCCTTCGATAGCCCCCTGGAGAATAGTGGTCTTGGAGGCAGGGTCGCGAGCGTCAACTGGTACATGGGGTCCCAGGAGACTGATAGGCATGCCAAAGCCGGGGTCTTCTAGCTCTGCATACTTGTACCAGGCAGCGACGATGCGGGTTGCCATGTCATCGAGACGCGTGGACGAGAGCGATCCATTACGGACAGCCAACGATAGGTTGCCGTTCTCCCAGTAGACAGAGTCAGGCATGACCAGGTCAAGACCTGCCGCCGCACTGGCAATACCCGTGTGCTGGGCATTCCAGTCAGAGACGACGAAGCCTTGGAACCCTAGTTCACCCTTGAGCAGACCGTTCAAGGTCTTACTGTTTTGACATCCATAGCTGTTGTTGATGCGATTGTAGCTGCACATGACGGCACCCGCACCAGCTTTGACTGCATCGTGGAAGGGCCACAAGTAGAGCTCGTGGATAGTTTTATCATCAATGTTGGATGAGACGGACTGGTTATAGCTGTTATCCAGTAGTTGTGGAGTGTTGCGGTTCGTCTCCTGCTCGTTTCCAATGAAGTGCTTGACGCAGGCAATGACGGACTCCTGCAGACCACGGATAGTGTTCTGAACAAGGGAGCCAGAGAGGTAGGGGTCATTGCTGTATCCTTCCCAGTTGCGACCACCCCGGGCCATGCGGCCTAACGGGCCTACAACAGGTCCAAGAGCAACATTTGCTCCCTTGCGCTTAAACTCTGCACCCATATAATGAGCGTGTTCATAGGCGAGGTCACGGTTCCACGAAGCCCCAATATGGAGACCAGAGGCGTAAGCGTTGACCATGTCAGTTCCCCGTACACCGCTTGCTGCATCTTGGAGACACATTCCTGGGTATCCCAGTCGAGGAACACTGCCAGTCATTCCGGAACAGCCATTTGTCGTAGACGTATGACCATATGTGATGTTATTCTTCTCATCATCGGTCATCTGTGCCACGAGAGACTTGGCTTTAGTGAACTCCTCTTCCCAGTCTCCCAATCCGCTTGTTTCAGCTAATGACTGGGTTAGCTTTGATCGTGGCTCTCGGGGGTAGACTGACTTACGGGTGGGATAAACAGGCTCTGAGCGTCCATAGGACCAGAAGTGTTCTAGCTCAGCAACATCGACTGTTCGCTTTTGTACTACAGCGGCATCTGCCAGCTGCAATGCAGCCGCATAAAGAGTGAGTGACACCTTCATATTCTCAAACTCACTGCGGAAAATTTCTTTGACGGTGAACTGAAAGACATCCTAAGCGAATATCTGGGTCTTTATATACCCACGAGGCACTACCAAAACATCCCACTGTCCGCTCCAGAATCCCCCATGGGTCAACCCCATTCCTCCCGTATTCCGGCCAAGGCTTTGTAAATTCTCGGCAATGGTTGAGCATGATGACGGTGGCATGGACCGTACGAGAAACGTGAAGAATGAACGGCCTAGGGTTTCGGGTCAATCTCGGCATGATAGCCAATTAGACGCTGTACTGAGCGTGACATTCGTGGGGTTAGCTTGCATGGTGAACAAGTCGCGTGGCCGAAATCGGTTCCCTGTCGGCTCCACGAAGTCGGTGCTTGAGTATGGAGCGTTGAATTGCGGGGACTCCACACTCGGAATAAGCGAGACCTCCGCGTTCTGCACCCCAGAACGGGAAAACGTGACGAGGATGCCGGCAGAATTTCGGCAGATTGTACCACCATGTTGGATCATGCTGGGCTTGCAAGCACGCCAAGTGAAGCTAGCTGTGGTTAGGCCGTTTGTGCCATGGTCGTCTTAATCACTGTTGAACCTTATTTGCTTCTCACACCTGTCCAGAGCCATGTTATTCTCCACGGGGATGCGAAGAAGGGTGGGGAGACACGCATGCCACATGACATGACAAACGAATGACTAACTGTGGTCAACTAACTAACTATTCGGAGTATGTATCTTCCCTCGTGGGGGCCGACAGATGGGATTCGGGTTCGATTGGAGGTTTTCCGAGAGAAGAGTAAGTTAAGTGTCAAAAGGGAAAGCAAAGGAGGAAAAAAGATTCTTGTGTCCCGCTTCTCCCCGAACTTGCGGATCCCGTGGTCAGGATCAGGTGATTGTGAAAATGGCACAACAACCATAAGCTTCTTCTCTCTTTTTTTCCCTCTTCAGAAACTTGCGGAGAGGATAGTCTACGGCTGCTATTACGCTCTCTCATCCCCTCTAGTCCAGCACTCGGATTCCCACAAAGTCGGCTCCATAAGATTGAAATCCCTCGTCACCCCCCACATTTCCAACTACGACCTCGTTTAACCCTTCCTTCCAGCCACTAGTCAGTAGTCCTAAAGTCGATGTATCCCACCATCCCAATCCCGGACCGAACAGCTCGCTATGTCTTCCGCTCAGCGGCACTTCGATCCTCACCGGGTCCTCGCTGTTCACCGTCACGGTCAAGTTCCGAGAGTTGGATCCCCAACCCCAGGACGAGTCGAAGGCAATATCATTATTTATCCAGTCAATCTCCAGATACTTGCTCCCACTGGTAGTCGCGGAAATCGTTGCTTTGGCAGTGCCACTGGGGCTGATGTAGCCAACCTTTGAGCCAACCGGCTGACAATAACCGCTCCCACACGTAGTCAGCGTGGTAGACCCGGCAAGGGTAAAGTTTGTGCAAGGGTAGTACGTTCCATTGGGAGGTGTGACGTGAATGGCGTCAATGGGTATGGAAGTGTTGATGGTGATTGTGTTGGAGGACCCGGCGGTAAGAGGAATCTCGGCGGAGACTAGCGTGGACGATGCGGGGACCTGTGCGGATATCATACTCTGGTTGGCATTTGATCCGATGGTGATAGTTTCTGTTGAAGAAGCTGGCTGCGAGAAGTAGACGCTAATGATGTACTTGGCACTGGTTGTCACGGCGTAGATGTTTTGGAAAGTCGTCGTTTGTCTAAGACGTCAGAAGCATGCATGTTTGGAACAAGGACGAACATACCCAGAAGATACTCCGAAAACTCCTCGTGGATACACTCCGACAGCAGTCGTATTCTGTAGTTCGAGTAGCATCGTGCCATGGCCGGCTACTGTCGCCGTGTAGGAAGTAAGCACATCCCGTGCAGTAGTGCCGTCCCAAATGTTCTTCACCGTCCCTGCATGTTGGAGCCCAACATCCGGCAAATCCAGGGTCAGGTCCTTGCTTTCATTGTGCCAATTGATGACCGCAGCCACTGTCCGACCATTCGACAGCGGCCCACTCCATACCTCATAGCCCTCTTCGGTCCAGCGCCGGCGTAGACTCGCACTCTTCCCCAGTGCATCTTGATTGAATGCTATGACATCCTTCTGTTTCAGAACTGCTAGCGACGCGTCATTTATGGCAGTGAGCTCATCCTTTAAGGCAGCGCCAATTATCAACGGGCTCTTGAGAATGGCCCAGAGCGAAAAGTGCGTCTGCTCCTCTGGAAGAGAAAATATATTGTTCCCCACTTCAAGCATGTCAAGGTCCGGCCATTGGCCCGGGCCAGCAACATCTGTTTGTGGAGCTGCCTGGTTTATGATGCGGAAGATTGTCCGCCAGTCAGGTATGATGTCGTTCCCAATTCGCCAAGAATGACCGAGAGCAGGGGCCCAATTCGCGGGGAAGCTGATACCCCACTCGCAGATTTGGAATAGAATGGTTCGATTTTGCTGCAATAAAGCATGAGACATGTTGGCGAATCTGGGCTCTGGAGAGGTACTGGGCGCGTAATTGACGTTAGGGTAGCCAGTTGCGGCGTCGGAGTAACAATTGTCGTCTAGTAAGCCCATCAGAGAGTATCTCCAAGCGCGTTTCTATGAACATACATTTGAGAGAGTCCACATTCCACGAGGCAAATGTTCTGGCATCTTGTTCTTCGTGGTCTGCGGCGCGCGATTAGCAGTCCGCATTCACGTCTGTCCATGATGGTTGGCATACACAGGCTTCCTGTCTCATTCGGCGGACTTCCACATAACAGAATCCCGGAATCCTGATACACGCCGAATAGGAGACCTAGATCATGGAGGAAATCACCCATAGCCGGGAATCCTTGAGGGAACAGGGTGTCGTTCCACGTCAAGGATCCGTCAGGCAGCCGGTCTGCGACTGTCCAGCCGCAGTCCGTCGTGACATATCGATATCCGAGAGAGGACAAGCCTAAGTCAACCAATGCTTGTGCATTGGACTGAACGATAGTCTCGTTTGGGGAGCACGAGTAATGATTGTACGTGTTCCATCTGCGCGATTGTATCAGATTTGTATATGGACAAGGCATGCTCGGCCTACCCCATTTGTGGTGTCAATGCTAAGCCATCTTGCAGACGTGGCTGTAGGGATACGCTGGTTACTACACTGCTTAGTGCAGCATACAATATGAAGTGAAGCAGCATGATTTGCGACCCCGGCTGTCAGTACTGTAGGCGCTGAACCATGAGTTTGCGTCAAGTGCGGGGTGCGTCTGCAGACTATTTATACTCATGCATTTAACCGATGTCCCCGGCCTGAAGACTCGGACTTAATGTAGCTCTATTTAATTAACCGGGAACAGAACCTTGCATCGTCGGTTAACAGGTTTGAATAGTCCTGTTCGAATTTCAAATATCGCCGACTCTTCAATTGCTCTGAGATTCTTGTACTTGCCGATAATTATGCTTTGACCCCACGACCATCTGGCGAAGACAGGATATGTAAGCGAAGCTGTACTCCAGCTTTTATTCATAGTACACTAGTCCTCTGTTTGGATATCTTGGTTTGTGCTTTCTGTGCTTTCATCGGTGGTCGGCCATGAGAGATAAGCAGTGCTGGGCGCTCCGAAATCTAAAGTGTAATTAATGACAAATGAAAATTGAAACAAGTGAGATAATATGGCAGCATCGTTACATTAGACAGGAATGGGAGGTGATTTGATGTCGGAAGGGATTGAAGCAAGCCAGTACGACATCTAGCCACACAGGAGGTAATTCAGACAGGCACAGGCTCTTTCTTGGAAGCATATAAGATCCAGAATCAACCCTCAGGCAGGCAGGCACTACATGCCAAAAGTAGCTCTGCGTGCGTCTGGAGCTCATGCATAATAACAAATAGCCCACATAAGAAAGACTGAAGATATTTTGGTCTGGAGAGCTTCACGACGGTAACCGAGACATAAGTAAAGTTTACATTAAAACTAAGCAAGCACGAAGGAGTATCAGTACTTAGGCGATCATTGCCAGGCAAAAGGCAGGGATTAGCAGACACCTACATGAACCAACCAGAAGTGTACTCGAACAAGGTGTGGTTGTTTCACGAAATCTGTTTCTCGCCCTGGGCCAACTATTCCTTAAAATAGTCGACGAAGCATAACCCCCCATAATAGAGGAGAATATGTTTCGCTCTAATATACGTGTAATCGTTGAATAGTCAAACTGCGGAGTAGTTCCCGCCCGGGTCGGATCGGCAACTCCGCCATACAAAAGATGCCTCTTGCAGCTGTGACTTGTGCCAATAGTATTAGTTATGGTTTTATATAAGTATGTATCTAGATAAACTAGGCAGTAGGTTATTTTCTCGATTTAGGGAAATTTCCTGCCTATCATTCTCAGGTGTAGTAGATCGAACATCCCTGTTCTCCAATGTCATCTGATACAGTGGGATATAATATGATAGTATAGGATATTTTAACATTGACTCACTATCTATGCATTTGACATACTCAACACCAGAATTTGGAGGAGTAGTAAAAATGAGGTTTCGCCACTCCGAACGCCGTCGGACGGGGTTTGGTTATTTCACTAGCTGCATGACAAGGCACATCAACCACCTGGAAAGCAAACACCGTATGCCAATCAGTAATTCTCCAGGAACTTAAGCCCATCTGCATTTGAGGTCAGCACGGTACCAGCTTTGTGATTGGGTAGCTCCATGCGTGAATGTAGAAGCACGATGGAAAAGTCACACCGCAACTTCATACGCGAGCATTGCATTCCAAATCACACGATTTATGTGTCATACAGTCATGCAGCATAGCTGAAAATCTAGACTTCACTTGTCAAATTATTTCAACCAAGAAGGTTATATGATGTTGGCAGATCCTCATTTAACAGTCGCCCCAGATACGCGCCCTCATGGCTACCGAGTCCCTCAAGATCGCTCTTATTTATGAGCTTCGCGAGGCCTACAAGGCCCTCGGTTACTCAAATGCAGACTGCGACAGGTTCGAAGTCGGAGAAGCAGCCGAGCACATAGCTGCAGCTCTCAAAAATTTGGGGCATGAGGTTGTCCTTGTTCCAGACATCCATTCCCTGGTTAAGAGGCTAGCACATGGCGAGGGTAGTACATGGGACTTGGCATTCAATACCACGGAGGGCCTACATGGATTAGCTCGAGAAGGTCAAGTTCCCGCATTGTTGGAGGCCTACCAAATCCCGTTCACATTTTCGGATGCGGCCACGATGACATTGTGTTTGGACAAGGGCAGAACAAAGGTGGGTGTGCTTACAACCTTAGTCTAACATAGGCGTTCTTTCAAGTCATTACCAGCTAACATACACTTGCTAGATGGTTCTTGAGCACTTCAATGTTCCAACTGCTCCGTTTGCAGTGATCCACTTCGATCATACCGCTGAGAAGACGCAGGTTTCATTGGACGAGATCCTGTCTATGATTCGCATGTCTCGCCATTCCGAGACGCTGCTGAGTCAATATCCGTTGTTTGTGAAGCCTCTTGCTGAAGGCTCTTCCAAAGGAATTGGAGCAACCAACAAAATCAAGAGTATTGAATCCCTATGTGATGTCGTCAACTCTCTTCGAGATTCCAGCCCCTCATCGCTTGGGGTTCTCGTCGAGAAGTATCTTCCGGGTCGAGAATTCACTGTGGGCATCCTGGGAACGGGCGAGGATGCATGGGTGGTCGGTGTCGACGAGATATATGGTGCAGCAAAGAGTCGACGAATTCTAACCCCGAGTCAGTAGAGTTCACAACTGAAAAATCGAAGTCAGCCGACGATTGGGCTGGAGAGGCCGATGAGATCAAGATCGGATGGGATGACCAGGAAGCTGACCTTGCCTGTCAAACAGCTCTTCGGGCATGGACTGTCCTGCGCTGCCGTGATGGAGGAAGAATTGATATACGGATGGATCACTCTGGGTCGCCAGTCGCTCATGTCATGGAGGTAGGTGTATCGACTGAGATACGTACTTGTCCTTGGCTCACCAGATTCAGATCAATCCCCTAGCAGGTCTTCTCCCTCATTGGTCGCAGTTGCCCATGATCGCCGAACACAATAATGTCTCGTACAATGAGCTTATCGAATACATACTAAAGAGTGCTTTACAGAGGCGGAGGGGTCGGGTTCTGAACTGAAGGCATTTGCTGTTACAGGATAAGCTGGGTTCAGGACTGCGTAGGCGGAATCAGCAACAAGCCACTGTCGACAGAGAATTCCTCCGTCAATACTTTTTTCGCAAATGGCGAGCCAGTCTAATAACGTAATGAGCCATGCAAGCTGCCACTATACCTATTCGTGGCCTGGCCCAATGTAAGATTACCATACAGAAAGGGGAAGTCTCGTTGGGTGACTTGCCCCTATCTTTCAGCTTCAAGGCTTCGATGAAAGTCAGGACTATATTTGTCTCACTCAACTATCAGCCTAGACTTCTAGGAACAAATGTCTTCAGCCGTGACCATCAGCCTAATCCGTACATAGAAGGAATAATGTCTGCCCGTAGACACTAGGCAAATAGTAGGAAACCTTCTACCATGTCTCGGGAAGACTTTACTGACCAAGTGACCAACATCTCTTAGGACAACAAAATTCAGCTCTGCACGATCCTAACCTGTTCTTTCCATGCCAAGAGGCTTCTTCGGGTTAAGAGCTTCTATTGGAGGGTGTCATGGTGCATGCCACATCTGCAAGCTCCAGTTGGTAGTAACTATGATGTAAACTGCCACTTCACTAGAGCCAGTTGAACAGCTTGACAATCCACCTAGGTGCAGCGACTCTTTATGGTGGCAGACAGTCCAACCGCGATACGCGACTCGATAGCCTTTTCAGGTAGCTGAGGGCAGAGAAACAAAGATGGGGTGGGTGGTTCTATTCATTGTTAGTGTCGCCTGGCATCGATCACTCGAAGGCTTGAATGGAAGTATCAATCAGGTCCTTGTTATTGCCAGTAGCTCTAATCACTCAAAACAAGGAACGAGTCTATCGAACTATGGCTCTGTCGATCCCATCTCATCAGTGGGGATTTGTCCCACATCTTCAACGGTGCGGAAGGCCATCGGAAAGGGGGAGAGCCAGTCATTGCACCTCAATCACAGCCTCGCCGGTTGAATAAACGGTTAAATAGCTAACTAAGACAACAGTCTCACTTGCCGTTGGTTCCGAGGCTTCCCATTCCCAAGATGAGGCATTGTGGAGATCGCACCGCACCAATCCCTCAGTTCTATCCCATTGACACCCGAAGCCCCTCTTACCAGTCACATATTCTCCATCAACATGGCCTATATCACCCATATCAAGGCTGCAACATTCATGTATGTCTCACTGCTAACCCCTCCTACAGTCATCCCACATTCCCCGTAAGACACCCCTCTCAATCAATGACAAACTCATGGTGTCACCTCGGCCCGTCCGCCTCCCCCAGAATGAGACATGTCTGTATTAATGTGGGTCTCATATGCGCCGATCGATTTCCCTCGCCCATTGGAAGCGAATCCACTAATTGGATTTCCTGCAATCACCGTTGTCGTTTCTCCGATGTCTCGCCAGGGACACCCACATGGCCTCCAGCCACAGCCAATAATCTGGCCCTATAGACCCCGCCGTGTTAATTTTAGGTCACATAATTGCCATCGAGGGGGGACCCTGAAATTGAGTCTAAAGCAATCATATCCCGGCAGAAGATTCCATCGGACCAATCGCCCTTTCTGGGGGTGATGACAACATATTTGCTGTGCTGGGTAAGTAGGGACTGTTTGTGGGTTGAGACATTGTATATTGGCAGCTGCAAAGCAGCTGTTGCTAATTATGGTGCTGGTCGAGCGAGATGAAAGGTATAAAAGGCAGCTCGATGTCCTCGATAATCATTCCCTCATCATCACAACAAGTCTCTCACATCCTTCACATCCAATCAATTAACAAACCAACTCTTCTTCAATCTACATCAAACCATCCTTCAAGATGCAGCTCAAGAACCTGATCTTCGCCGCCGCTACTGCCGCCGCTCTCCCGGCCACCGACGCCGCCACCAACGAGCCCTTCGGTGTCATCTCCATCCACTCCGGCTCCGGTGTTCAGTATGCTCCTATCAACGCCGCCCTTGGCAGCATCTTCGCCGGCCTGAAGAGCCAGAACGCTAGCTGCTCCAACCCCCAGGACCAGACCGCCACCTTCTTCCTCGACGACGGTGCTCTCTACCTGTACGACCAGTCTGCGACTCCCCAGGAGCTCTACGTTGACCGCTCCGGCATGGGTATGTTTATCCTCCTTCCTAGCGTGCAGTAAACAAGTACTTTATGACTAACGTGGATATTTGTCATAGGCCAAGGCAAGATCGGATACACCACCGGCGCTCAGCCCGCCCCCAAGAACGGTGAACGCAAGGGCTGGTCCATCGACGCGAACAACCACCTGCAGTTCGGTGGAAAGGACCTGATTGCCTGCCCCAACAGCATCGAGGGTGCCTGGAGCATCTGGGCTGATGCTGGTGTTGCGAAGCCCGGCTACAACGAGGGCTGTGAGGGTATTGCTGCCCGTGTCGAGGTCAGCAAGAACCCCAACGTTTGCTCTTACACTTCCAACTAAGGCAGTACGGATGGATCCGCTGGATACTGCTTGACAAGATGCTTAGTTGGCTGGAAATCTTGAGTTCTGTTGTTTGTTTTGAGTTGTATTCATATAATATAGCGCCATATAGCGAAATCGTATCTATTTTTCTTCGCTGAAAGGTTTCTGAACGTGCTTTAGCTATCTTGAGTGATTTGTCAATAGTAAAAACTCTTCTGCATGAACATGCCTTGGCAGTCCCTGTCAAATAATCCATCCCCTCCCAAGACATCTTTTGTATCGACCGTAGTCCCTTCCGAACAAGCATTGGTATTTTTCTCAGAGATAGTAAATTACCCCTCATCTATCGAGATGAAGCTAAGATAATCTTGACATGAATACCACAGCGAATTGAAAGCTCGGATTCCTGTCCCTTCTCTGAGGATCTAATTCACCGCCGATACTCGTCAACGGCAGCTTGAGAACTATAGCTATGTTAACCACCGGTTGAATTATTCGACTCTCATATGGAAGTCGCGCTCGTGTTGTGATCCCTCGCGAGATAACTAGTAGTTAAAGAACCTCACGATCCGTCATTCGAGGCCATATTCCAAGTCAAGGACAGAGACTATCCTCAGGATTGTCTGTACATTGACAATGATCGACGGCAGTAGTCTGCTAGTGAGAGATATATATTGATAATCAGATAACACTAGTGCGGAGTGCGTCAAGAGGCGCAGCTGGATAGAACGGACCTGGAAAAATGTGCACATGCTGTTAGAAATAACACTAACGAAGCAACTAATAATTCAAAATCATCTTTCCACATTGTATCTCAATCCCGACTGCCAAGCTTGGTTTACTGCTTGTGGCTTCGGCCGCTAAGTAGCAATTTGAACAGGCTGCATGCTTAGGAACACTACAAACGTCTCGAAAGTCGTAAATTGAGGCATTAGCGATGATGGTTTCCACTAATCAATGAATGGCAAATAGACAAAAACCCATTGTGCCAGTGATGGTGAAGTTGGGCTGAGTCTCGATAAGATTACAAGGATGAAGACACGGGACACTCAGCCACCTGAGGCAGCGACATTCCATGACTTGAGGCATTAAGGGTCTTGTCAGATGACCATCAAATGACAGGACTGATTCTCGATCAGTAGCGGGACCGAGTGGCTTCAGGGCAACGTATGCTCTGCAAGATGAAACCGCAACAGGGAGCAAACAATCAGTCACCCTACGGTGCCTTCAAAATCCAACTATACCATTCTGGATGCTAACTGCATAGCCAGTTGCTTCTTAAGCGAATAATCCCACATCCCCGGATCCCCCGGAATTCATACAGCTCACCCTTTCCATCTACAGCCTAGTTGCACTGCGCTTTCTCGAAGGGTCGACGAATCCGCACTCGCGAAATCCCTAAATGGCAATTACACACATGAAACGCTCTTCGTCAGACTACTACCGAAGCCAAGGCAATGACCCGACAACTCCGACGATCCTCTCCCATCCGGGCCGATATACCCGACCAGTGTACAACATTCCAAGACTGTCACCAGCTCAGGACATTCGGATTAGAATCCAATAATATAGTGATGCCTGTGAGCACAGAAATCCAGTGGTATTCACAACAGACACCCTGTGTCTTGAACAGGCAGAACCCAATTTCCAGTCATGCGGTGGCAACTGGTCAAAGCCACAACCGCAAAATGAGCGAATCGGGATGAGAGCCAGTTCCCAACCCGACGGACGAACCAGGATGTTTCCAAGATTCGGAGTTTGCGGAAAATTTCTATTTCGGTAGTGGCAGTACAATCCCAACAACTTACTGTGTGTACTGGGATAATCACACTTTGACTGTGGTGAACAGTTACTGTGAACCAGTAAGGACAGCCAAGCCGCGCCACGCCACAGCCACAGGTACTAACTAACTAACAAGAAACAAGATGCAATAACCTCACCACAACATAAGCCAAGCCAGGCCATAATAATTCTACGATTACATGCAGGCTAGCAAAACAAACAATCAACCAAACCAAAAAAAAAGCAAACGTCATCAGGCAACACCATTCCCACTCCAACCGCACACTAGGTGCCCCGTTTTGGTCTTATTCTCTCCAGGTTCAAACTTGACCAAGGCCCTGCCCTGAATTGCGTGGACCCAAGAAATCGTATGTCCTCATAGTGGAGCCACGATGCCGTGTTCCGTCGAATACCGATGGCTCGACCATCCACTTTGCAATTTGCGACGCAATTTCATTCGCGGGTTGCCTCGTGGATCTCATTGCCACGGTGGCTAGGCACTTGTCCATAGGGTGCTATTCTTATCCGTTTCGAGGGGGAATCGATGGTAATTGCCCTGGTGATCCTTATTTGAGCCTCTGGGGTTATAAATACTTTGCTTTTCCTGCTCTATCCAGCCTTCTTCATTATCTCTAATCAATCATATCTACATCTACTACTTTTCTCCATACTTCGGTAGTCTTATCTACTTATCATACCACTACTACCAAACCTAAATCTACCACACTACATACATACATACAAAACCTTCCACACACACACACTACAATCCAACAACCACACAACACATACTCAAAATGAAATACGCTCTCTCTACCATCCTCCTCACCACCCTCCTCGCCACTCCCTCCCTCTCCACCCCGGCGCCCGACGTCGTCAGCGACGCCATCGGAGTCGCCCAAACAATCGTCTCTGGCGGTGAATCCGTGGCAACCAACATCGCCAACGACGCGACCTCCATCGCCTCAGACATCAGAACCGGCGGCGGCGCAGCCTACTCCTCCCTGACCTCCGACGCCGGGGACGTGGCCTCGAACGCCGAATCCTGGGGCACGTCCGTGGCGTCGAATGCGCGGTCTGATGCGTCGGCCGCGGCATCGGATATCAGATCTAAGGCGTCGGATGTCGCCTCAGAGATTACCTCGAAATGGGAGAGCGCGACGACCTTGACGGGGTCGAATGGCCAGCCGACGAGTACGGAGACGGTTAGTGGGAAGACGACGCTGACTGCTAGCACGGCGAGTGCGACGGGTACGAGTGCTAGTGGATCCAGTGCTAGTGCGACGAGTTCGACGAGTGAGGGCGCGGGCGTGGCTATGGCGACGCCCGGAGTTGGGTTGGGGCTGGGAGTTGCGGGTGTCGCGGGTGTTTTGGGGGTTATGGCTGCTTTGTAAGGGGAGTGAGTTGGTGATGATGGAAGTGGGGGAGATTGTTTGATGGGTAATGGATGGGTCCATGATTGATACCAATGTATATGATGTTTTGATTTAGATTATAACATATCGAGTTGTTTCATTCTTGTCTATTAGTATTGGTATCTGTTCGAAGAAGTTGGTATATTTGAACTAGATAATTAGTATGAAGCACCAGTATGCGCTTCGTCCCTCTTCTCTTCCGTCTCTGACTCCGTCCTCTCCTCTTCCACCCCGTCCACTGTCATCTTCGGCCCTGTGTACCACTTGCGCGCAAACAGGAAGTAGTACGTCATGCAAGCGACCCACACGAATCCGTTAATGACGATCGTGTAGTTCATATCGGATGCTGCATCAAATCATATTAGCATATTTCTCAACAAAATAAACAGGTCTTCATCTCCATGAACGCAAAGGAATGGAATATACGTACGACTCGGATTCGGCCCCGTCGTTGGGAACATCGACAGCATCAACCCAAAGGCCAACCACAGCACCGCAACAATAGCAATCGGACGGCTCATAAATCCCGTATAGAACTCGCCCGGTCTGAAGCGCTCCTTGCCCCAGATCAAGCGGCAGAGGATGGGCGTTGCCCATGCGACGTAGTTACTGGCCACGAAGAGCGAGAAAAGTGCGTTCGCTGCGACGGAGTTGATGAGGCAGAGTAGGCCGAAAACGATGCTGACTGCTACGAGGCCGCAGATGGCGCGCACGGGCTGGTAGCGGATGCGATGACTGACGTGGCGGAAGTAGTTCGAGAAGGGGAGAGCACCATCGCGGGAGAAGGCCCAGGCTTGGCGAGAGGCAGCGGTGATCTGTTTGTGTTATTAGTGTAAGTTGGGTTGAGGGATGTTGAATCTGGGAAAAAGGGGGATGGGCGGGCATACCAAGCTGAGGCCAATTAGGAATTGGATTACGATCAGCACACCCATGAATCCGAGCGCGCCCTTTTTGCCTAGTGCGTCGTAGTAGACCTGGGCCATGGGCTGGCCGAACACGGAGTTGATTGTTGCGTTGACGTCCTGGTTCATCACTGCAGCTATAATGCTCAAGACTAGGAACCCGAACACGCATGCGCATCCGGAGGACCAGATGATTCCTAGAGGAACCGCCTTGGCGGCGTGTAGGGCTTCCTCGCTCATGTGCACGCATGAGTCAAAGAATCCGATCGACCAGATTGGCGCGAGGAACGCTAGGATGAAGTTCCACCCTGTTGGCCATGTACTCTCGTTGTCCACGTGCCCAAAGACCCAAGTGCCCGGGTTGAGGGACTCCCCACGGGTGACTTTGCCGACGGGCAGAGCGATGACTGTAGCGATGATGATGGCAATGTTGATGAAGATGCAGAACGTCTGGATACGGGGCATGATTGGTCCCGAGTAGACGCTGACAACGGCGTGAACTAGGATGAGACCGACATAGACGCCGTAGATGGTGCCGTTGGAGGCGGAATAGGTACCGTCGCGGGTGATGGAGACGCAGGCGAGAATCATAAGCGCGAGGGTGTCTGGCAATTAGCAGCAAATCACTCTCAGGGGGTGAGTGAAGGCTTACAATCCACGGAGCAAATTCCGCCAATCAGGCCCAGCGTATTGCTGTAACCAACCAGGAAGCTCAACACATTTTTATATTTCTTTCCAGCAAAGTAGTGCGTCCACCAGTATAGACCACCAGCTGTAGGCATTGCCGATGCCATGTCGGCCTATATTGTTGTCTTAGCATGGCTTGGCATGTACTAGGGCGAAGGTCCACATACCAGGGCTAATCCAACGAAGAAGATCAAGATACTTGCGGTAAACCAGCCCTGCATGATGTTAGCTCGTGCCACGCGAGCTGTAAGCCCATATGCATATACCCACCCAGATCATCCCTGCAGGCCCGGCCGGTAAGGAAAACGAAAGTGTAGATGCGATTGACGGCACTAAACCCATGATACTGAATGCGACGGCGAATATTTGCACGGTGGAATACTGGCGACGGAGTTCCTGTTTGTAGCCCATTTTGGCTGACACCTGTTAGCATGGGCGTCCGTGACCCTCGTCCCTGAACAAATCGGTCGCAGACTCACCTAGTAGTTGCGAATCTCCGGGATCCGAGAGTCCAGCTTCCTCCGCGCCAGAGTTGGCCGAGACGGCCGTAGGGGATGCCTTTGCGGCCATTGTCCCAGGATGGACGAGCAAAAGTGAGATCGAGCGGAATGGGGGACACCACGAGGTTGTCCAAGGAGGGCAAAAGGGTCAAAAAAGATTGAAGTCGAGGCCAGTCACGGGGGAGAAAGCAGCAGTTATAGGGATCGGATTGAGTTTGCCAAGCAACGGATTAAACCTTCTCGATCCTCGACACTTCTTCAGCTCGGATCAATTTGGCTGTCAAGGTCTGTGACACAGACAATCCTGTTGCAAGGGTGAGAGACCAGGAAGAAGAAAGAGAAAAGCTCCTCCCGGTAGCCGCCAGGACATCCCTGGAATTAAAGCTGGCGACCTTCGTGTGTCGTGCGCCGGGGTTGCAGGTCGCCCTTCCACGGACCTCTTGTTGCATCTCCTCACTCCGGCTGGCCCCCCACATGGGGGGAAGTCGTGGGTCGCCGATCATCGGGATGGCAAGATTGGATTGTGTGCCACTGGGCACTTCTGCAAGGCATAGAAATGAGAATGGGCAACGTCAAGGAGCAAGATCGGCTGCTGGAACCTGATTGACAGTCTGGTAAGCTGGCTGTCATCCAAACTATACTCAAATTATCTTTTTTTTCCCATCACCAAAGTATGAGCTTAACTTTCTCTTTGTCTCCTTCCTGCAGGAATGATGATCTGGAACCAGTGCTATAGACTGCGCTGGAGTCCGCGCAAAGGAAATCCCGCCGAAGACAGGATGGATCCACCGCCCGGCCAGGAGGTGAGACCAATGGCCATCCCGTTCCCTGGAAATGGCGGCTGCACTAAACAGCCACTGGCAACTCTAGAACTTCGCTTGTCACTGGCTCGATCGTTGCGCCCGCAGATTGAGTGTCTGCAACTGCGTCGGATGTATTCTCCTACATGGCTAGTTTGATGCTAGCGAAGCGTGCTAACGGCTGAACACGGAAGCCCTTACTCTCCTACGCACGATATCGCTCTAATTTAGTATCGTATACTAGTCTCGAATCCATTAGTTGTGGTATGCACGTAATAGTTAGTAGTTTAGTAGCTATTGTTAGCGAGGCAAAGCCAGCCAGCCAGTTTTGCCCGGTCGGAGATGACCCGCGCCCACTTGCTTGGGTCGACTCAAACTTCAGTCATCAGTGCGCGCTTCTACATCTCCACTCGGAGGACGCCGCTGAACCATGAACTAAAAGTTAGTTCGACTGTCTACCAAACTGTTGCGAAAGTCTTTCCAGGTCCTGATAGTCCTCCGAAGTGCTGCCTGGTTGTTTCCAAGAGCCATGACGTCCCCATGCGGTGCCGATCGAAAGCTATTAATTACTATTTACGTCTGTACAAAACTAGTACTAGGAGAGTTACTCTACTACAGCTAGTGGTGAAATTTAGTCCAACATTAAGCAGGGTAGAAATAGTTATCATGATATTGAGATCGATCAACTGCTTCGCTAAGATAAAGCCACTGGAGAAGAAGAGAATTCCAGATAATGCAAGGCTCCCCTGATCGAGATGCAAACTCCATGTCGCCAAACGAGACCCTATTGCAGTCGCTGCTGTTCACATCATTATTACAGGGTATCTATGTGCCACTTTTATCGTACAGTCTATAATACATGAGAAGGGAAGTCGCGGGGTCTTGCCGCCGCCCGTCATATCCTTAACGTCCCTCAAGGACCTTGAGAACCAGCTCGTATGTCCCGATGGTGATCGCTGCCGACGGCACCGTGCGGAGAAGGTGTGCCGTCAATCCTCCATACAGCGCGATCACTCCCTCTTCCTTCAAGATCAACCGCGCACACTGGAGGATACTAGTATACTTCTGGCGACCGTCCGCCATCGGAGCCTGTCGAAGTCGAGTACGGATAACCTGCAAAATGTCAGAAGATGCATATGCTGGGATTCGCGACGCGTCAACTCACCTCATGGGGATACGCGATCAAGCAAGCAAACAGCTTCGACAATCCCGACGCTCCACTCAGAGCAAGGCCCTGAACAAACTTGTTCGAATCCGAGTTCTTATCCAAATTGACCTCCTTGGAAATAAGTCCCTTGATGCGCTCATACATGGCCAGATGCAGTGTTGTTTCGATTGTGCCCAAGTAGCTGGCCGTCAGACCTCTGTAGAGACCCTTGGGACCCTCTTGTTGCAGAATCTGCTTGGTACAATCAAGACTGTTCTTGTACCGGCGAGCACCAGCCTTATCCAACTGAAGACGAGTTTTGACCACCCAAATAGGGTTGGTAGCTGAGCCCGTGGCGATACCAGCGCATGCTGCGGACATGGCATGTACCAGAGTAGTATCCTTGTCGCAACCCAAGATCTCCGGCAGCAGGCGTTTGCAGTTTCCGTATGTGTAGAACTTCACCGCACTGGCCGGGACGACACCCGTCAAGCTGGGTCCAAGACCCTTGAACATACCCCGCCAGCCTTCAACACGATGGATAGAGAAGAGAATGCCGAACGTCTCGCGAAAATGGCGGATAGAAGTCCGAACGAATGACTGACGAACGTGCGCGTGTGTGGGAATTGAGCGGTTCACGCCCTGTGTCTGATAGTAATCGGTTTGCAACCTAGGAAGCACAAGATACGTTAGCATGCAAAGCTGGGTTGTTGCTTGAGTTGAAGGCTTATCCTACCGCGTGCGGAGAACATCAAGAGGACTCGTAACGATAGCAGTGACCATGCCGCCGGTACTATAATAAAACGTCAGTATTCAGCTTCTCAATGATAGCATTGAATCAACTCACGCGCCAGCAACCAAATGATTCCATGGTCCCAAGCTAGACACGCTGGCCTTCTCTTCGATTGCCTCCGTCGGCAAGGACGGCGGGAGCGGATCTCCAGACGCGCCTCCCGACTGGTGAGCAACAGGCTGCATCTTGCCGGAGTTGATGAAACAGTAAAATAACTTCCAATCTGCTCAGCGACACGAGAGTAACAGAAGACTCTAGGGGCCAGAGGAGAGATCGGAGAGTGCAGGAGAGATTAGCCTGGCCTGGGCAAAATCAGGAAAGTTTTTTTTGCAGGAATAAAATACCGAGCGGCGAATCCCAGGCGGTCTGGCCTTCCCCATCCAATCATGTGACCTGCCATCGAGGTCCATGGATATCCACTTTGTTACCCATTTGTGACATAGGTGGTTACCTTCCTAGATAGAAAGCTTGCCACTGATTTTGTTTTCATTGTCAAACTTCTGATATACAGTCCATATTCGGGGTATACGATAGTAACCCCTAGATTGATGTGTTAGCAACTCGCGCGTCAGGAAATACTGCTTACTCCGGAGCTGCCGGGGGAGGATCTGTCCCCGAATGCCTTAGTCAGGCGGCCCCACCCCGCGACGGCCCCACTGGCTTCCCCATTCAGGTCAGCTTTCAGGGCCTCAGGAACCCAGGGGAGAATGTAACGCTGGGGGATACTGCGGACTCTATGACTTTCAGATACTCACAGACAGTAGTTAGGATAGCGAGGTGACTTCACTTTGGAACAACTAACATGAAACATACTATGGCAGTTGCTCTCAAGAGACGGTACTGTTACTGCTGGAACGTCCAGAAGAGGGAGAACCTCGTGGTTATTACAAGTACTTAGCCACTTTTATATGAATACATACGGTAGAAGGTGTGTACGGGAAGAAAGAGACGATCAGTACTACCCAACTTTTTACAAAGAACTTGAAAGGATTCGATGTCATTGATAATGAGTGGAATCAGTAGTATGAGAAATGGTGCATCTGTGAACACGCCTCAAATCGGAAAATCCTTGAGCTTGCTACTAAGATGCATATTGAGGAGAAAGAAAGGAGTAGGTCAAGCAGCAACCGATGGACAGTGTCCCAAGATTCAATACTCGTCCCGCTCAGAGTACCTAAGCTTCAGGACTTTTGAGACATGTTCGTAGCCGAGCTTGGTTTCCTGATAGCGGGCGAGAACTCTGGCTGCTTTTAGCACGTTTCTGATTTCTCTTCCGTTCAATTTGTACTCCTCCAGATCGAAAAGCTCACTCCCAGAGAATGCTTTTCGATCCGACTTTCCGAGTAAACGGATCCAGATATGGCGGCGGGACGCCGAGTCGAGTTCGGGATAGTGGATGGCAACATCGATATGGGATTCCAAGGCAGGGTCCATGATCTCGACACGATTACTAGCCAAAAATATAATCCCCTAATGGGTGTTATGTTAGGACTATTATTGAAGACTGTGTTGAGCACATACCTCAAAGTATTCCAGTAGTGGTAAGAATACATGGGATAGCGCCTTTTTCTGGGGATCGCTGGGGTTGTGTTTCTGTGTGAGAATATCGGCCTCCTCTAGAAGAAGTACAGCGCCCCATTTCGGAACCATACGCAGGACAAAGCTCAGGCTCTCCTTAATTTGCGCAGCAGTTGTTCCTAGCGCTCCCGCGTTCTGGACGTAAAGCGGGACATGCATGACTTCGGCGACACATTCGGCGGTCAAAGTCTTGCCAACGCCAGGGGGACCATGCAGGAGCATGATGACATTGCGGCCATTGCCTTGAAGCAAATCGTCAGATACATCGGATTTCTTTGACTGAGAAGTCGCGAGCGCAAGAACCAGGTCCTTGAGATCTTTGGCCTCGCCGTCAGGCAGTACCAGAGATTTAAACGGTCGCGATTTCCAGACAATATCCGATACACCGTCGATGCAAAGTTCCAGCCATTTTCTGTCTTTGAGAGAGTAACCACGTAGAACTGGAGTTGCGATCAGAAAATCTTCATCAGAGGGTGAGTCGGATATATCTATCAAGCTTATTGAATTTTTATCCGAGTGGAACGCGAGATATGCCTCCGTGTCAATGATGACTCGGCTGTTTATTTTGTACCTAATCTCTTGACCACCATAGGATGTCAAAGCTAATCCTTGGTAATGCTTGTGGTGATGGCCTTCGTACTGATACCAGAGCTTTCCACGAAGGATCAGGCTTTCGCGCAGGATGTCCTTATCATTATGGAACATAAAGGGAATCATTGGCAAGGACATAATAGGCTTGGTGCCTTCAAAGGCTGGAATGTAGAGGGTGTATTTCCTGTACCCAATTTCGTAGCCATTATAGTCAATGTAAACGGCTTGAATTTCGTAGTCTGAATCGACCCAACACGTTTCAAGACGAAAGGCGCGCTTGCAATCGTTCACGGTACTGAGAACTATTTGACCTGGTTCAAAGATGGTCCAGAGCATGTCGAAAGTGATCATGCCGTTGAGGACAAGGTTCTGCTTGTTCGTGATGATATCGCTGAGTTCGGTTGCCAGGACCCCATACAGTAGATCGATGTGGGCCTTAGCTTGCGCGCCCGACTCGTCGTCTCTAGCTTCGGAAAACAATTCCCAGCGGTGGACAAACGGTTGAAAGGGCTTGCTGAACTCTACGCGCTCGAGGGACATAGTAATGCCAGGGTAGCCATCCATGACCCTAGCCAAGACCCCTTTGAGATGTTCACTCTGCACAACTATCGAGTCGACTTCGAGCCTTCCGTGTCCACTGGAGCATTTGATATTTCGAACAAGAAGCGCGTACTGGCCGGACTCAGGGGCCCTTACTGGCTCCACGATACCGGCGGCAGGCTCTCTAGTCCATGACTTATTGCCGTTATAACTAGGCTCCGTCTGGTAGAGGTTAAGAGTCTCGCAGATAGAGCCGGCTGGAGCATACTGCACACTTCTGCTGTCATTCGCTGGTACGGTCGTTAGCTCAAGTCTAGCTCTTCCTGCCTAGATAAGGACTCCTCAATGATTTTTTGAGGAGACTTAAATCTGCAGAAAATATATATCTTGTGTATTGCACTTACAGATGATATCCTCACTTATATCTATCAAGATATGATTTGGATCAGATATAGAAGAGGAACGGGGAGGGAGACGCTGAAGTAGCGGCCTTCTTCTTTTGCTGACCCTATCCATTCTTCTCATAGACATCTTGTGTTATGATAGAGGTGACGGAGTTTTGTTGACTGGCTTTCGAGATAGGAGGGTGGCGAGCAAGATAGTCAATAGATGAAGATAGCAGCAGGATCTGTAGCCGCTTGAGCACGGAAGAGGAGCAGCGATAGCTGGTCAGACCTCTGACTTTGTAGTATGAAGTTAGAATCTAGCGCCTCTCCACCTCAAGTGAGAGGAACAAGGAGTCTCCCTAGCCCTTCAAAAAAATGACTCTGAGCCCAACTCAAAAATTCGCGTGCCGTCATTCACTACACCGCCTCACTGTGTTTCCAAAGTGTGGGAGAAGTGAATAAAGGAGACTAGAGATCCACAGGTAAGAAATCCTCGCTAGAGGAATATACGCCTAGGATGAGACTGTCTCGTCATCACTTTCTACTTTGGGTTTACCTGAGTAGTATGGCCATATCTCAAAGCTAGCTAGGGATCTACATGCACCAACTGGTCATTTCTGTGACCAGAAATGTATTTCTTGTCCTCTTCCGTCTGACAGCATGGAACAAGATCTGATGTAATTTGATTATCTACTACTAGTAGTCAGATCTGCCATCGAGTAGCTTCGGCACACATGCACTTTCTGATCTTTAGAAGGTTCAATAACCAGACTATAAGACTAACGAGTTTGGTTGAGGGAGAGGCGGATTCTGGCCAATCATCTTTACCTGACGGAAGTCTGAAGCATATTTCATCTATAACACGCAGAGCGCTTACATGTCACATAGATATCTCCTATCCTAACCACATATTCTCCTGCTCAATGTCGTCTCCCCTAATACTGCGCCACCATTCACTTTGTCGTACAAGTTCACCATCTTCGCCACCCAAAAGAGACCAATACTTCTTCAAGAACCATACCTTTGCTTCCCAACTACGGACATCCCACGGCGTACCAGTCGAAGCATACCCAGTGGAGACTTGCCGATCCCTCTTCCCAATGCCCGCACCTCCCCAGCACACTAAGCCAGAAAGCATATCGTCGAAGAACTCATCCTCATCTATATCGTGCTGGCGAGTGATGAGGTTCCTTCGTAGCGTTCGGAATGGTAGAATGTCTATCATCGGATGGTGCTCAATAGTAATTTGTTCTTGGAATGGCCTCAGATCTGGCTTTAGAGACTTGAAAGTTTCCTGTACTGTGCGGATCAGATTCCTCTTGGCTGCCTCGTCTACCATCACCGCAGTGGGCCGAAAGAATGGCGAGAGGGATTCGTCAGCACATAACGCTTCCTCTGTAACACCCACATGCCTGACAAGATCAAGAATTGCAGCGATGGTGCAAACTCTGTCGATGCGAAGACTGTTGGTATATGGATCGGCTGTAGTTGTATTCGTGCCAAATCTGAATACTCTGACTTCATTATGGCCGAGAAGGTCTGGACATTCTGTCTGTATTCGGAAATGCGGGCTGGTACAGCCGCAGTCAATGGTGGTTGTCCAGTACAACTCCAGGCTGTCACTGGGCTTATCGCTAACGAGAAGAGAGGGATCGACACATGATGGAGGGTCCCACACAGTTAGGGCTGAGGGAGATTCATCAGAATATAGATAGGGTGTTATGGTGGAATCTGATGTGTATAGTGCCGATGGACTCTCAGCTGAAGCTGGGATAAGTTGCTGGCAATTACCAAGAGTGGCCACAGATGTTGACGGAACCGATACATCCGAAGCATCATAGAGTGGAAGGGTCTTTGGAACGATACTACTTGAAGTGTTGGGTAGGCCAGACGCTGTGATCGCCCCACTTGGTTGTATGCCAGCAGCTGGGGTGCTTTTAATGGCCGGGGTCTGTCCCGCAGACTCTGCCAGCGCTTCGAGGCGACCTAAGCGCTCACGAAGCTTTTCTCCTAAACGAGTACGTAATTAGTAATTACTTTTGCTAGCTAATCTCCGATGTGGTGACTCCAAATGAGACCCGCACTTACGGTATCTGCGTTGGGCTTGAATGTTCTGTTGCCGCCTCTTCTCCGGGTCACGGCGCAGAGGTTTCCGCTTTTTCTCCCCCACACTTTCGCTATGTTGAATCGCTCGGGTTTGAGGTGGCATGGCTGACTTAACAGTCCCCTCAGTAGCATTGATCACCGATAGGAAACCAAGGATTAAGCAAATAAGCCACGCAGAGCGTTAGGAACATCCCAGATGGAGGCAAGAGACGTACGAGCTCATGGCTGATGTCAGCCACTGGATTCCAGGCGCAGCATCGACTGTGCGCGCTAGGCTATTTCGGGATTGGTTTGTCGGCCGACCCACACATTGACACCTCAGGCACTACATCGGTTCCATCGCATGCCATTTCTTACATTTGGCCAACTGTGATCACTTTTAACATCAATACTGACGACTCTTCTTATTTCTCCAACACCACAAAACCCGAATAGAATTTGACGTGCCATTCTTCCGCAATTGGGGCTTTCAACTGCTAGTAGATATAACCATCAAGTAATCAAGGTCCCATTACAAGTCAATTACAAATGATTCCAATTTACCTCTTGCCTTCACGATATGCTAGACGGAACCTTTGAGCCAATTGCTCAACTCTGCAGGATGACCAAGCCAAACTTTTCCACCAGCATGCCGAACCCTCATCAGCAGTTAGGACTTGGATTTTGATTTGGCCTTTACGAGCATTTCTCCGTAATTGTGATGCTCATACAAAGGTTCTTCGCTTTTCCGTGACAATGGCTGCGGGAGAGTATGGGGGTCTATCTTGCCGCCCTGGAACATCACCACAATATCCGAGCCACCAAACTCAAAGTGAGAAATTTCATCACCTTTATTAATGGTAGCCCCCGGCTTAAGGTCATCCCTGACCACCACAGACGAGACTTGCGCCATGCCAATCGGTAGAACAGCAACCGTACCAATCTTGTCGTTCTCTATAATGATAATCCCCCGTGCTTGCAGGAATTGATACCCTTCTTTATCTGTCGCCTCCGCTCCACGGAAAACAGGCCCCGACGAGTATACAGGACGCATAGGGCGTTTTGGCATCAAAGAGCGACTATCAGGCTGGTATTCAACGTCTAGGTAAGCCGCACCATCAATAGTGTCGATGACTTTGATAGTACCTCCCACTGGAGCGTGCTGACGATGATAGTCAAATGAGTTTAGAAACGAATGCAGCCAGACTCCGCCCTTGAAAGAGTCGCCATAATCGGACTTGTACGGCCCAAGGAGATCGCCTATATGCCAAGGAAGACCTTTCAGCTCGACCAATGAATCATCAGTGATATCCCAGTATCCGGAGAAGGTTGAATCCGCAGGAAAGATGACAATGCTGTCGTCACCCTCGCCATCGATGGGCCGTGCGCCATCTTTGAGATGACGACAGAAGAACTGATTGAAGTTCTTCCACTTCCCCCCTTCGGTTTTGGATTCATCCGCCTCGAATACATGGAAGCTTGGAGCATTCCAGAAGGAAGTGAGCGATGCTTCGTTCAACGACTCTGGTCGGTCCATGTGGCTTCCAACCTCCTTGGCAAACTTCACCATCCATTGGGAGAGCTCAGATAGATCTTGCCCCACAGATTCGGGCCTAATCGCAGTTTGACAATCCTTGAGTGGAACCTGGTCAAACACGAAATAGAAGATGCACAAAATATAGTAGATGTCTCTGCCCTTTGCTGACTCGGTGGGTATCCAGCCGTCAACCATCCAGGTTGCAAAGTTTAGAAACCCTTTGGCAGAGGTGAGTCCGTAGCTTTCCATCTCAACAATCCTGTACTGAAGCGCAGATTGGATAGCTTGTTCAAGGGCCTCCATTCCTGAAGCATAAGGAAATGACTTGTCGAGTAACTGGAGAAGCTCGTTAACGATGGGTGCGTAACGCATTTTGGAGCTCGAAGTGCTGGACACTGCGCCGGATGAGCGACTAGGCAAATTGATTATACTGAACATGATGGCCGAAATGGTGATGAAAGGCTGTTATGAGGAAGCGAGACACTAATATCCGTGTTGTCAGGTCGCACTTGTCCAGACAATATAAACCTAGCGCTCAATTATTAGACATACGAGAAAGGGAGGGCCACAGTGACGTGATGGTGAGATGCGCATAGTCGTTATTAACATTGGCACGACCTGTGATTCTGATTCAATGGCTTATGGAGCAGTATATTGATGGGCGCCCAAGGCCTGGACCTTTTTCATGGTGCTTTTAAAGAGTCCAGCCTCTCGCATACTTGGAGTCTAACATTAATTCGGCCAAATTGTAACACATTTCGTTTAATCAAAATGAGAGCCAGAGTGTTAAGAAGGCTGTAACTGCAATCGAGGAGCAAGTATGTGAATCCGGACTGACTTCAACTTTGCAATGTGGCGTTCGCCCCGCCCCCTCCCCCGGGGCTCTAATACGATCAGTGATACTGTAGGGTCTTCTCTTCTACCCTCTGTGACACCTCATTCATATGATGCTAAGAATGGAGGTCTGCTGGATGGTAGAGGGACCATCCTGTATAGCACGATCGTAATCATATAGCCATTTCATGTAGCCTAGCTAAACTCACCATCCATGAAAGGCGGTTAATTGCCGTATTATTCTGCTCTAGCATATCGAACATGATATATGTCCCAGTTCTAAGACATTAGCACACCGTTGATATAGTAGTGATACTACTCGGTCGATGTTGAACTCTAACCTATATTCATTCACGAAGCTGGTTAGTATATCCTTCAGTAATGGCAAGTTTCCCCGCATTAATTTTTCGCTCCATGTCTAATAATTATTTTATTATCTATCTACAATGGTACTGCCATGAAAAATCCGAACCAGTAAAATGATTAGGGGAAGTATATGAAAAACGCAGAAAGACAAAGGAGACCACGTGACGTGAAAGGAAGCACGACCAGTCACCTGATTTGAAGACAACTTCATGTGAACAACCCAACTCCTCCTGTAGTCCACCACTACGTATGACTTCATTGTACCTAATCTTGTTCATCATTCGATCATCAGCTATGACAAAGTTCAGACCGTTCGGGCAAAGTCTCATCGGCTCTGTTCGTCCTGGATCGGCCCAGGCTACTTCCATCGGCCGATTCTGAACAGACTAGATGCGTGCCTGGCCATTTGTGAAGCATCTACTGTTCCTGACATGCATGGTCTGTGGAGTCTTTCCATGAATCTATGTTAACTGCTGACCGTGGATCACAGATATGAAGAATATAGGGAAGAGACGCTGACTGCAAAAGCCTAGACCGGACCGTTGGAACCAGATGCGTCATCGACTCTGTTCTCGGCCAGATAAGGTTACATATGCCTCGCCGGCCACGCCAACAGGTCCTACTCAGAATCTAGCCTTCCATGACGTCGGGCCGATGTGAAAAGCAAGCTTTGCCTCAGTGGCGGGTTTATTCACTCGTTGGATCTGGCTTCTATTGTTAGGCAGAGCATGCTCGACAATACTCTTGTCGACTGTCCTCTTCATTCTAAAAAGGACAAACTCGCTAAGCGGGGCCGGTGTATTCAATGGGGGTGTCCTGAGCGACTTTTCCCACTCGGCTTGAAGGGAGAGTCGCCTTTCTCGCTGAATGGTGAATCGCACACTGCGGAGACATTCCGTACCCTCTGGTGTTGGATGCCTTTGATAGGCCAACAGAGACACTGAAATCCGATTCTCATCACTCTTACTTTGACAACACAGCCTTCTGTACCTGCATAACACCGGGTAGCTTGAATAATGTCCGAAGGAAGGCGCAGCAACGAATCAAGCTCAAGCTCCTTGATCAGTTATCACAGTGTCGAGAGACCGAATGCAGACTCCGACGCTGAAAAAAGACATGATCTCACCCCCGACAGCGACTCATCACCAAGCGGTCCTCGTACTCATCGAGTTCACTTCGGGGCGGATCGCAGGTTTGAATATGGGGACTGGGATACAGATGAACGAGTTCTCTCTCCCGGTACATCTCGCCTTCGACGCCGTTCGTCTACTCAAGCGTCAGTAGACATCACCGATTCATCCCACAGAGGTCCACCATCTACTAGTACAAATGGCAGGGACGAAGAAAATGAGAAAAAGCAGCAACACACGACGACGACTGAGAAAAGATCCAGACGTGAACGCCTGAAAGCATTCAAAGATTCGATCAAAGAGAAAGCAGCGAACCTTGCTGCTCGTCTCGGTCGTCCAGATGATATCAACGAAGACGACCTACAGCCCATCGACCATCGACGTCGCAACACTGAACCTGATCTGTATCTCAGAGAAGAAGATCAAAACCAAACCTGTAGTACCGAGGCGCATCGGATCGTTCGTGAACTAGCACATGAAGCATCCGGCCGTCGTCCGAGTGCCCGTAGGGACTCGGCTTTGCATCGTGCTGCTGGGGTTTCTGCCCAAGATGATGATTCTGGAAATGAAGCGATACCTCGCCGAAGTTCTGGATCGGGAGGCGTTCTATCTCAACTGCTCAGACTTAGCGGGGGCTGGGACCAATTCCAGAAAGGAGCGCGCGGGCTCCACCTAGCCAGTGACACGTTCTACCCTTTCGGTGGAAGCACCCCAGGCACCACGACTCCGCGAAAGGAGAAAGTACGATGGTACAAGAAGCATGGTAACGTTTCAGCATCAACCTTAGTCGGAGGTGGCAGTGCTAGCGGTGCAAGCACCCCTGTTACCGGTGAACTTTTAAGCGCTGCATCCAGACGACGTGACAAGAGCCGAAGGCATAGCATGAGACTCGAGGAGGAGATTCAGGTTACCTTACAGATTGCCGAGATCATTGCTCGACAGAGGTATATCATGCAACTGTGCAAGGCATTAATGAGATTTGGGGCTCCAAC